TTAAAATAATCATTATTTTTAACACTAAATAATTATTTTTTTATTATTATAATAACAATTTTTTCCAATAACAGTTTTTTTATTGGAATAATTATTATTTTTATAATAATAATTATTTTTTAATGTAATAATAATTATTATTTTCTGTATGAATTTACTTTATAATAAATAAGCGAAAGATGAATTTTGTGCTTTGTTTTTTAATTCTAAAAAGTGGCGAGTAAAGAATTATTTGGAAAAAAGAAAACAATTTTCTTTTTCTTTTTTTGATTTTAGAGAAAAAAATTTTCTTTTTTTTTTTAATGCAAATTTTGATATATATTTTTTTGGCTTTATTTCTGAAAACTATTTGTTACGATATTATTTAAAGTAGAGGCAAGAAAGCTTTTTATTTGAATGGAAAAATTTCTAAATAGCGGTGAAAATTTAAAAAAATGTTTAAGTGCTTTTTTTTAAATGACAAATATTTTTATTTTATTTTTTTATTATTTGTCTTTAAAAAAGAAAAAGAAAAGCTTTTGAAGCGATTTTCGAATAATTATATGTATGAGAATGATTAATTTTTCTTTTTTTAATTTTATAATTCTCTATATAATAGAAAATGGATGGGAAAAAAATTTCCTTGACAATTTGTGGCAAAATTTTAACAGTTTTGGATACAACGAACCCATTAAAATAGATAAATAAATAAATAAATGTATAAACAAGTAAATCAATAAAAGGCGTAAAAAGGAAAAAAAAAATAGTTAGAGAAAAAAAATTAAATTAATTGAATATTTATTCAATTAATAAATAATAAATAATAATTAATAAATAATAAATAATAAATAATGAATAATAAATAATAAATAATAAATAATAAATAATAAATAATAAATTCTAAAACGAATAAAATTAGTAAAAATAGAAAATAAATTAATAAACAAAGAAAATAAAGAAAAAGTCAAAATAAAAATAGGAAATAAGAAGAAAATCAAAAAAGAAAAAAAACAAAAAACAAAAAATTATTTAAAAAATGAAGAATCAAAATAAAAAAAAAAATTTCAATATCGTAAATTTGAAAAATTCGATCAAAGCCACCATTTCATATTCGACTTAACAGCTAAATTACAATAAACAAATTCAATTGCAATTTGATAATTTTTTTTATACAATATTTCTATGAATTTTTTTTTTTAATTATATTTTTCATAATATTTATTTTTTTCCTTTTTATATAAATAAATTCGTCCTCCGTGAAAAGCCTCTAAACTTTCATCTCTCTCTCTCTCTCTCTCTCTCTCTCTCTGTCTCTCTCATACTCTCTCTTTCTTTCTCTCTCAAACACACACTATAATATTTCGTTTTTCATTTTTCATTTTCATTTTTATTTTCTTCTTTTTGTACAAAATTAGCAGAATAATAATTATAATGATGTTTATTATATCGAAAAATTAGTAAAATATTTAAATATCTAAATAAATAAGTAAATAAATAATAGTTGAAAAATCAAAAAAGGACAAGTTCTTTGCAATTGTTTTTTTTTAGTAAATTTTCGTATTTCTTTTTTTTTCATTTGAGTTGTGATAATCAAAAAGCAATGAATTATATTTACAATACGTACAAATTTTCGTCAGATTTTGGAAAAAAATTCTAGCGATGAATTCTTATTTAGAAAAAATTAATTAATAATTAATGAATTATTAATAATAAATAATTAATTTAAAATATATTAATAAACAAATTAACGATTAACAGTTAATTAAAAAATAAATGAACAAAATTAGCTCTTAATCGTTATAATTAAGAAATAAATAACAATTTAAAATAAAATTTAAAAATAAATAAACAAAATTAGATGTTAATTGTTAATTAATAAAAAATAAATAAACAAATTAACGGTGAAATGGTAATTAATAAATAAATATACAAATTAGCTGTTAATTATTAATTAATAATAAAAAAAACAAATTGTCAGTTAATTAATAATTAATTAATAAATCAATTAGAAGTTAGTTAATAATTAATAACAAATAAGTAAACAAATTAGAAATAAATAGGAAATTTAATAAATAAATAAGAAAATTATCTGTTAATTATTAATTAACAATGAATTAACCAAATTAGCCATTAATTATTAATTAATAACTAATAAACAAATTAGAAATTAGTTAATAATTAATAACAATTGAATAAACAATTTATCGATAAGTTATTAATTAATTATTATATAATAAAATTAACTGTTAATTATTAATTAATAATTACTTAATAAACAAGTTAGAAGTTACTCAATAATTAATAACAAATTAATAAACAAATTAGTAGTTAATCATAAACAAAATACAAAATAAACAAATTAGACAATAAACAAATAGAGAAAATTAGTAAAATAAAAAATAAGCTAAATAGAGAAAAAAATAGAAATGAAAATAAATAATAAATAAACAAAATATAAATAAATAAAGAATAAAAAATTATAATAAAATATTTCTTTCATTTAATGAACCAACATTTGTTTATTTTTCATTTCTAGTTACTCTACTTCTGTACTTGGAAAAAATTTATAAATTTGTTTAAATTCATTGCTTCTTTCACATTTTCATTCAAGTAATGAAACTCAATTTTTACACAATGAGAAAATTCTTTTTTTTCACGTATTGTATTGCTATTAAATTTTAGTGGACGACTGATAAATTTATATTTATAGACAAGGAGGACAAATGGCTAAATATTTACTGCTTATAATAATTTATTTAAAAAATACATTCAAAAACTTATAAACAAAAGAAATTGATAACATCAAAAAAATTATAGAGAAAAAATATTTAAAAATTTTTTAAAAAAATAAAGAAAAAAGGAAAAAATGTATATAAAAAAAAAAAAATAAAAAAAGTCAAAAAAAGAAAAAAAGACAGAAAAAGAAAAAAAATAAATGAAAAGAAGACAAAAAGGCAAAAAGGCAAATTATTTACATCGTCCAAATTTATATTTTTTTAATTTCCTTCTTAATTTTTCATCTTTTTTTAATTTTTCTTTTCGCATAAAATGGCAAATCTCTAGCCATTGAAGTCAAGATGAATTAATTTTCAAAATTATTTTTCAATATTATTTATTTATTTATTTCTGTAAGTCTCATTTATTTACACACTCGCCAGAAAAATGCGATGGAAATGTCATTTTAATAATAAGAATAATAATAATAATAATAATAATAATAATAATAATAATAATAAAATTAATAATAATAATTTAAAAAAGAAAAAAAATCTCTAGCCTACAATAAAGCAGTGAGTTTACAAGTTTCTTTGTGCCACATCGCGTGTAAAAGCCGAAGCTTTCATTTCTTATTTTTAATTAATTAATTAATTTCTTTATTTATTTACTTCTTAACAAATGCATTGTTTTGGTAGAAAAAAAATTCTTTTTCATTGAAATTTCTTTCCTTTTACTCTTCGTATCTTGTTTTCACTTTTTTTTCCTATTTTATTTTTACCTATTTCAAACTTTTTCTCTATTTCATTTTTTCGCTATTTTATTATTTTTTCCCTCGTAATTGCAATTTTTTTTTTGTTTAATTATTTTATTTTATTACTTTGTAATAAAATTTTTATTTCCTTTTTTTCTCTAGTAGATTAAAAAAAAAGAAAATTTTATTTTATCAATCGAAAAATTTTCTAATTTCTATTTTTCCATTTTCTATTTTTTTTTTTTTTATTGGAAAAATTTTTAATTTTTTTCTTCTATTTGGAAATTGTTTATTTTTCTTTTGTTATTAAGCACAAAAAATTTCTTCGATTTCGATGAATCTCTTTTCTGATTCTTTTATTTTTCGTTTTCCGTTCCTAGATTATCAATTTTTTTGTTTCTTTTTTAAAGCACTTGAAATATAGAAATTAAACGGGAAAAAAATTATGAAGAGAAAAAAATTATTTAAAAAGTAAAAATTTTACTTTAATGTCTAAATTATTTTTTAAAACGAATTCTCCTGGCAGTTCTTTTTTTGCCCTTTTTTCAAACAAAAAAAAAGACAAAATTTGTATTGAATTAAAAAAACCAAAAAAGCGGTTAATTTCTTTTAAAATTTAAAAGTATGAGAATAATTTCCTTGGAATATTTAAAGAATTTTTTCCGACAAAAAATGTTTTTCTAATTGAAATTCAAGAAGAAAAAAATAACTTTTTTCGAAAAAATATTTTTTCTCATAATTTAAGACGTAAAAATATAGTTTTTTTAAAATTTCGCGAAAAATAGTATTTTTACACTTTTGGGGAAGAAAAATACTTTTTTCATCAAAATTTAAAGCAAAAAATTGTTTTTTTTCTCAAATTTAAGGAGAAAATACTTTTTTCAAAATTTCATGTAAAAATACATATAGTATTTTTCATATTTTATGAGAAAAAAATACTTTTTTTCTTCAAAATTTAAAAGTAAATATTTGATTGAAAAAAATTTTAAAAAACATTATTCTTCTTTGATTTGTAAAAAAATTTTTTTTAATTTTAAAAGCAAACAAACGCTTCAATAAAAATTCATAGAAATAAATAATTTTTCAAATTTAAAAAGCAAACAATTGCTTTTTTCGTAGAAATAAATAATTTTTTCAAATTTTAAAAACAAAAAGACGCTTTTTTGTAAATTTTAAAGAGTAAAAAATATTCAATTCAAATATTAATGGCAAAGAATAAATTTTTATAAAAAATTTTAAAACTAAAAAATAGATTTTTCGTTTGAATTTAAGAGAAAAAGAAAATTCTTTTAAAATTTAAGAGAAAAAGAAATTAATTCTTTTCGAAATTTAAGAGAAAACTAACGATAGTTTTCTTTTTCACAATTAAAGAGAATTTTACAAAATGAGAATTTTTAATTTTTCTCTTTCTTTGGTTTTTTCCTTTCTTCTTTCTTGTTTACGTTTCTCTCTTCTTTCTTGCTTTCTTTTCTTCTTTCTTGATTTCATTCTGTTCTTTCATTCCTTTTCCTTTTCGGATCTGTTTCTCCCTTTTTCCTTCGTTCAAGCTTTAATTTTGAATTTATTTTTTCCTTTCATTATTATTTTTCCTCTTCTTTTTTTTGCATTCTGTCTTTAGTTTCCTCTCTTTCATTCTTGTCTTCACTATTCACTTTCATTCTGCCTTTAGTTTTTCATTTCTTTCTGCTTCTGATAATATTCTCTCGACTAAAATTCCTTGTTTCGTTTCGCTCTTTCGCTCTTTCGGTTTTTCATTTCTTTTTTCTTTTTTTTCAAAAAGTGATTTTTTCTTTTTTTTATTAATGTTTTTGTCTTAGTATTTTGGCTAAAGTAGGCAGCTGCTAGCTCAATTCGCTAGAAGTGGATATGCGTAGCTGACGACGGCCACGCCTTTTGGGATGAGATTGGTCCTAGCTGCTTGTCGATGCAATCGGACTCACGGGACTTAAGGGACTGCGTGCCGAATCCCTCAAGCAGCCTGTCAATGTCAATAATAATTTACGACTGCCCGCTTGATCGCGATGCTCGCACAGCCAAACACCCTGCCATGTGCCAAGTGCCAATTTTCCACCTGTGATTGGAATGCTCAACGACGATCCAAGGAAGCACGCCTTCACGTGCGCCGGCTGCAAAATATTACAAAATATTATTTATATTGCAATATAAACTTTTTAAAAAATTTTCATTCAAAAAAATTTACAATTCATGCTAACAATAACAACTAAATTAATACAGTCAACTCTTGATAAGACAAACTCCTCATTTCAAATTCCCTCACTTTTTCAGGTTTTCCAGGTTAACAAACGTAATTTTTCCAGTTTTTTAAAACTACATTTATATTTTACAAAATTTTAATTTTAATTTAATTTTTAATTTTATTCTTAATTTTACCAAACTCCCTGACTTCCAGACAAAACGACTTTTTTCCTGTTCTATTACATTTATTTACGAATTTCTTTAATTGTAAAATTACTCAAAAACATCAATTACTTCGTTTTTAAATGAATATTTAATCATTCATATTTTTTTACAGAAATTAAAATTTTCAAAAATTTCAAATTCAATTACATATAAGAATATTATTATAAAACTTGATACTATCATTATTTTATAATATAAAAATATTGTTATAGTAATTTCTTCAAAATTATTTTCATTTCAATTCAATTCTTCATTTTTAGAATTTTAAACTTAAATTCTTTTTTAAAACAACTTTTTAAAATAATTTTTGAAAAAGCTCTTCTTTGAGAATTTTTAAATCCAATTGTTTACAATTCAATTTTACCTAAACTTTCGATTATTCTGACATTCTTCAATTAAATATATATTAGAAAATAAAAACTTCAAGAATTAAAGAAAAATTCAATTAAAACTTTTAAAAAATAAATTCTACAGAATTGTTAATTAAAAGTATGAAAAGTTCAAATTTTCTAAAAGATATTAATTTGAAACATTTTCAAAATTCAATTATTTCTAAAAATTTACGCAATATTGCTTTCAATATTCAATAATAATCTAAAATTTTAACTGACATTCATTTTTAAATCAATATTTACTAGAAAAATCCACGAAAATTTAATTATTTAAATACAAAAACAAATATTTTATTAAATAATTGAATTTTTATAAAGACTTTTATCAACAAATTTTTAAATAATTGAATTCTCTTTACAAATTTTATTAAAATTTTTAAAAATAAGTTAATTTTTGGAAATTTTATTAAAATTTTATTAAAAATAATTGAATTTCTCCAAAAAGAAAAGAGTTTTTGAAACTTTTTTTTTATAAGAATTTTTGAAAATAATTGTTATTTTGCCAAAAATTTTATTAAAATTATTAAAATTTTTAAAAATAATTAAAATTTTGCCAAGAATTTAAATAAAATGTTTGGAAATAATTGAAAATTTAGAAAGAATTTTATTAAAATATTTGTAAATAATTGAATTGTGAAGAAGTTTATAACTTTAAATTAATAAGTAATTGAAATTTTGACAAAAATTTTATAATAATTTTTAAAAATAATTGAAATTGTACTAAGAATTTTATTAAAATTTTTAAAAAATGAAATTTTGACATGAATTTATTAAAATTTTTTAAAATAACTGAAATTTGACAAGATTTTAAACAAAATTTTTGCAAATAATCCTGAGATGAATTCTATTATTTATGAAAATAATTGAATGTTTCTTAAAATTGAATTTTTATAAAGAATTTTATCAACAAATTTTTAAATAATTGAATTCTCTTGACAAATTTTAATAAAATTTTTAAGAATAAGTTTATTTTTCGGAAATTTGATTAAAATTTTATTTAAAAATAATTGAATTTCTCCAAAGAGAAAAGAGTTTTTGAAACTTTTTTTTATAAGAGTTTTTGAAAATAATTGTAATTTTACCAAGAATTTTATTAAAGTTTTTGAAAATATTTGAATTTCAGAGAAAAGTTTATAAAGATTATTGAAATTTTGACGAGAATTTTTGTAAATTGTTGAACACAATTAAATTTCTGCGAAGAATTATATTACTTTTAAAAATAATTGAATTCTTATTGAGACGAATTTTATTAAAATGTCTTTTTAAATAATTGAGTTTCTTTGATGAATTTTAATAAAATTTTTAAGAATAATTTCATTTTTCGAGGAATTTCATTAAAATTGTATTAAAAATAATTGAAAGTCTGAGTTGAGTTTTTATTATTTATGAAAATAATGAAATGTTTGCGTAGAATTTAAAAACTTTTTTTATATAATTGAATTCTTTTGAAAAATTTTATTAAAGTAGTAGATTTATTAAAAATTATTGAATTAAGGGAAGTTTTTGAAAATAATTGGAATTTTGTCATGAATTTTATTAAAATTGTTATTGGAAATAATTGAATTTCTAAGAAGAATTTTACTAATTTGGAAAATAATTGAATTTCTGCAATAATTTCTAATTGCTTCAAAATTCAATTTCTTTTAGTGTTTTTAATTAAAATTCTTCTATAAATCCATTATTTTTAATAATCAATTAAAAATATATATTAAAGAATTTAACTAATTTCAGAAGAATTGGAAAAATTAAAATTTCTCAAAAATTTACGTTCTTTAAGACGATTTCTAGTCTAGTCTAGTAAATAAATAAAATTTTGTTAAATTTAAATTTACACAAAAAAAATAATTTTTTTACCATATCGTCGGGACCTTCACAGCTGTGTCTGTAGTCTAAACCCTCGGGTACTATTTTATTAAGCATCATTTCCATATCGTCCCTTACATCCGGATCCCAACTTTCATTTAGTGCTAAACTCGCCGATGTGTGAAGAACTGGAAAGTAAATTCGTTTTTTTATTAAAAAATAATCGAAAATTTATTTACAAACATTTAAAAAAACTTAAAGTATTTTAATTAAATAAAACATAAATTTCTGAAATAGTACAAAATTTAAAGATTTTCCGACTAAAAAAACAACAAAAAATAATATAATAATAATAAAAAAATTTATACTAATAAATGATTTCAGTATTTTAATATTAATAAAGAATAAAATAATGAAATAATAAATTAATAAAAAATATATAAATTAAAATCCCGTGGATATATAAGTAAAAACTAAATAAAAAAATAATTCTTAAGTCATAGAATAAAATTTGTACTAAAAAACCTTTTGTGTTTTAAATTTTCCAACACAGTCATTAATAAAAACCTTTTAATAATAATAATATTTAAAATGATAAAAATTTATTTATTTTCATTTATAAACAGACTTCAAAACTGCAGTAAAACAGAAATATTTTTAAATTTCTCGAGAAATCAAAAACTAACAAAAATACTAACCAAAAAAATGTTAAACAAACAATTTTTCTGTCTGGAAAAAAATGAAAATTTTGATAAATTGAAAATGAAAAAAGAAAGTAAAAATAATTTTCCAAAAGGAAAAAGAAAAATAATTTTAAAAATACAAAAATCTGAATTACAAAAAAAATCTAAATGAGACTAGGTAATAGTTAAAAGAGAAAAATAGTAAACTTACTCTGTATATGACAAAGACCAACAGAAAATTGACAAATTTCCGGTATTTCCTTGAGTATTTCCTCAGTAACAAGGTGAATACCTCGATGTTGTGGTCTTAAACTGATTCTCTTCTGAAACCAGGCGGAGCCAATTTGAATTCCTCTCGTGGAGGAGGCCATTTCCGTTAAAACGACAAAAATCCAAAATAAAAAAAAAATAACCAAAATCACAAAAAAAAAATTATAACTTGCACCAAAAAAGAAAAGAAATTGCTCTTCTTTTTTTTTATTTCTTCCTTTTTCGTCGTCTTCTTCTTCTTCTTTTTCACAAATATATAAATATTTTCACACAATAATTTTTTTGGAGACACGATGATTTATATTTTTTCCTCTATATTTAAAAAAAAACTTGACGAGAAAATTTTTCAGAATTAATGAATTAATTCAAAAATTCCATTTGGAAAATTGTTGTTGTGGCTCGTTTGAAAAAAAAAAGTCACGCGAGACATTTAATTGAAAAAAGCACCTTTTTCTTATTCTTCTTCCTTCTTCTTTTTTTTTTTTTTGTTTTTGTAAATTCTTCAGGAATGGAAAAATAAAAATGTGAAACACATTTTTCAACGACCCTCAATAAGGTCACGATTTTGTATTTTTAATTGCAAAAAACACACAAACAAAATGATGATGATAAATTTTTACTTTATTTTTTTGCTTTTTTCTCCTTTTTTCAACACCTCGCGAGCCACCACGATATAAAGGTTAGGACGAGATAACGATTGACGTGCACCACTCCTCCGCGCAAAAACCACGTGCATATAAAATAACATAGAGCGACAAACTCCAAGGGGAAAAAAATTTTCCGAACGCAACGTCCTCTGGGAAGTGAGAAAATTTTTGAGGAAACTTTCGAGACGCAAGGGCGCAAGAGTGAGAAAGCTGTAAGGATATTTTTATGTCCTTATATTTATTTTTCATTTTCTTCTTCAAGTGGTTATTTCAAGGAATGTAAATCTACCTTTAGGTAAAATAAAAAGGGTAAATTTTATTTTATATTTTTATAAAAATTGTATATTTATTGTTTATTGCATTTGTTTGCAACAAATTTAGTTTTTGCACTCTTGCGAAATTTGCAAAGTTGTGAAGGCACCTTCAGGACTCGAACCAGTGAAAGTATTTAAAAATATGGACTTTACGAACCAAATTTTTTAATAATTATTTCCTTAAGGTTGAGTATTTAATAATTAAATTTTTCTTAAATAATTATTAAATATTTTATTATAAAAATATTTTTATATTTATATATTTTTTAATTACATTATATAATTATAATTGTTTTCTCAATTATAAAATATGTATTTACTAAATATTTAATTATTAAATAATAATTAATTACTAAATATTCCATTATTAATTATTTAATTACTAAATATTCAATTATCAATTATTTAATTACTAAATATTCAGTTATTAATTATTTAATTACTAAATATTCAATTATTAATTATTTAAGTACTAAATATTCAATTAATTATTTTAATTGCTAAATATTCAAGTATTAAATATTTACAAAATAATTGTACTAATATGTAATAATAATTGTAAAAATATGAATACACCTTTAGGTAAAAAAGAGAGGGGAGGGATTAATACCAAAGTGTAACAATTATTCAATTATTTACAAATCGTTAGTTGTCAAAACCGTTTCATAATTTTTTTTCATTTTGCAGTTTGTAAAAAAATATGAATGCACCTTTAGGAAAAATTAACACCAAATAAGGCGAAAAAAAAGGGGGGGGGGTGTTGTAGGAAGATTAACACCAATTTGCAACAATTTATTTTACTATATTCGCTAAAATTTTCCAACACAAAAAATGGAAAAAATTTTCAAAAAGAAACTTTCCAAAAAGAATTCATTACCAATTTCTTTATTTTCTTTTTTAATTTTGTTCTTTATTTCTTTATTTTTTTTTTACCAATTTCATTACCAATTCCTGAGATTTAAAAAACTTTTCCGCAAAAAGAAAACTGCACAAGTTCGATATTTTTGTTCCGGAAAAAATGTCAACTTTGTACATTTTTTGTATAGAGAGAGAGAGAGAGAGAGGCAAAGAAATTTTTTTTACAAAATATTCGTTTTTTAATAAATATTAAAAAATTTTATGGAAAAAAAGTACTAACCTCGTGAAAGATGAAAAAAAAATTATTTATTAAAAGCGTCTCTAATGAAAGCCGCGCTTGAGCTGAAACAATGCGTCAAATATGACACTTTACTTTACACCGAAAATTTATCGCAATCTTCTAACTATTATCGAAAACTCTTTGTAAATACTTTATAGAAACGTTAGTTTCACTATTTTTTGTAATAACTATTACCTAGTCGACTGATTTTTACGATTATTTTTCCACTTTTGATTGATGACATGTTGAGTGACTGACGAGAGAGCGTCCATTTTGCTATATCAGGGCATGGAAGGTGGGTTTTTTTAACAGCGTTGGGTCGCTAAATTGCATAAAATTTTTCGAAAAAGCAGAGTTGGGATGCTACAATTCAACAATTTCCGAACTTTTTCGATAAATATCAGAGTTGGGCTACTGTACTTAACTTTTCATTTATTTTGAAAAGAATAAAATACTGTATTTTAGGGGAAAATATCCAATAATCAATTAATCAATAAGAGAAAAGAAAAAAGAAAACAAATTGAAAACAATTTTATGTAATTTCACTTTTGAGTTGAATTTCTATACGAAAAAATATATTTTGAAAAATATCTATTACACTTTTGACTACGTTTTTACCCCCCTCTCCCCCACTTCCTTTTTTTCAATGCTTGGAATTGCTTGGAATAAACAATATTTTTTCGAAAAAATACAACAATACATTGTTCGCCTTTCAATAAATAAAAGAGAAAATATTAATTTTACAATAAATAAATTTTTTTTAACCTCAAATTAAAATGAAAATCGCTTGTTGAGAATTCTTCACGAATAAAAATAAAGAAATAAAATGTAATAAAAACTTGGAACATTTTCAATAAAACGAAAGAAATTTTTGAGAAAATAGTTTTTAAGTAAATAAATGTACTAACCTCGTTTGAAAATGAGAAAAACTTGACGATTCTTGCGCTGCAATAACGATGAAATGACGTATTGGTGGAAAACAATGTAAAATGAGACACTTTTCTTTTTACAACAAAAATTTGCAGCAATCTTTTAAATATTATTAAAAACTTATCGCAAATACTTTAGAGAAACATTATTTTTACTAATTTTTGTAATAATTATTGCCTAGTCGACTGATTTTTCACGATATTTTTATGCTTTTGACATGTTGAGTGACTGGCAAGAGAGCGAGAGCGTCCATTTTGATGTCAGGGCGTGGAAGGTGTGTTACTATAACAGTGTTGGGTTGCTAAGTTTCATGAAATTTCTACAAAGGCAGAGTTGGGACGCTGCGATTTACGAACTTTTAAATATCAGAGTTGGGACACATTTTTAAAAAATATTGACTCTACAATAAATCAGAGGCCTTCTCCACCCTGATTGAATATTTTCAATTGAAAACTAACCTTTATGATAATATGTCAAAAAAAAGAGAGAAAGAAAAAAATGACGAAAACTTTATAACTTTATAACAAGAAAAACAACAATTTTTTGATTTTTTCTACGAAAATACATTTCTGATTCGATGTTTTAGTCGCTTGGGAAAATTTTATGAAAACGCACGAATACAGTTGACAATAAATAATCAATGAATGATTATTATTTTTGACAATTTACTTCCAATCTGTCATTTAATTTGAGGTTAACTTCATCATGGATAATCCAAATAAGGTAAGAAACTTTATGTTTTTTTTTAATTTTAAAAGAAAGAAAAAGGTTTACAGTTTCTATTTTTTCTATTTCTTTAATTTAATTATTTACTTCTCTCTACTTGTCTTTTTATTGTTAATTTATTTTTTACTAAAGATTCTTTTCTCTACGAAAAGAAAGAAGATACAACATTTTTCGATTTTCTTTATTACTTTTCTTGTTTATTTCTGTGGAAAAAGAAGTTTAATAAATTATTTTCTATTTTATTTAATTCATTAATAATTAAAAGTCACAAGTTTATTGCTATTATTTTTATTAAGTCACGTCCAACAACCTTAACATTTAATTTTAATTAACATTATAATTTTATTATTATTATCATTGTAATTATTGTTACAGTGTTACTATTGTTATTGTTATTATTATTATTGTTTTATAATTTATTATCATTAATATTTTATAATTTATTATAATTATTATTATTATTATTATATTTGTAAATAAATAATTTTTAGAAAAAGCAGAAAGTAATCTATTGGCAATCTTTTTTTTATTAATTGTCTTTTGATTTTAAATTAATTTAATTTATTTGTTTCTAATTTTCTTTTTCGCTTTGTTTTTGAGAAAAAGAAAAGAATTAATTTCTTCTAAAAATAAAAATTTTCTTTCTTTATAAAAAGGAGGATCAAAGTCAAGATGAATCGGATTCTGAAGTGGATGAAATTGAGCCACGACTTAAATATGTAAGAATGAGAAATCATTTGGAAAATATTCTCCAAAGGGATGCTGCGAGTTGTATTGCTGTTCATCCAAAGGTAAAAGAAACGAAAATTAAAAAAAAAATTACAAACAAAAGTAGAATTTTCAAAATAAAAATAAAAATTTTATTAAAAAACTGGATTAATATATTTTTTTTTTCAAATAGAATTAGAATTTCTTTATAGTCACAAAATTAAAAAAAAAACAAAAATTTTGTTTTTATTTACTTTTAAAACAAGAATTAAGAGTAAATTTTTTTTTAAAGGATTTTTATTCTTTTGCCAAAAAAGAGAAGTAAAATTTCTTTATTGTTTATAATTATTCTATTTTCTTGAAAAAAGAAAAATTTCGTTTGGAATTGAAATTAATAAATATGAAGAAATAATTAATTGAGTAATTAAATAATTTAATTATTAAATTCAATAAATTGAATTAAAATTAATTTTTTGTTTAATTTTGTGACAGTTTCTTTGCATTGGCTCGCATTGGGGCGCAATTCATCTTTTGGATCATCAAGGGAATGCAGTGGAATTTAAAACATTTCAAGCGCACACTGTGGCCGTGAATCAAATTTCAATTGATCAAAATGGCGATTATATTGCATCGTGCAGTGACGATGGCCGTGTTTTTATAATTAGTCTTTATAATCCAGAGAATACTCAGAATATGTGTACGGGACGTTTGGTTAAATGCATTTCAATTGATCCGAATTATTTTAAAACAGGAAATACCAAACGATTCATTACTGGTAAATTTTATTTAATTTTATTTATTTATTTTCATTTTTTTAATAATTTTTTTATTCTTTTCAATATTTTCACTCTCTTTTGTAATTTTATTTCTATTTTTGGGCAGTTTTTTTTTCTTGTTTAATTTTTTCTCTTTTTTGTACTTCTTGCTCTTTTTCGTCATTTCCCCCCTTTTTCTAATTTTCTCTCCTCTTTTTGTAATTTTATTTCTATTCGTAGGTAATTTTTTTATCTTTTTTTCGTCATTTCTCCCCCTTTCTGTAATTTTTTTCCCTCTTTTTGTAATTTTATATCTATTCGTAAGTAATTTTTATTCTTTTAATTTTTTTCTCTTTTTTTCATCAAAAAGGGGGATAAACACCCTTTTTGTAATTTTTGTTTCTTTTTTTGAAATTTAGTTTTTTTTCCATTTTCGAAATTTTTTTCTTCCTTTGGAAGTTTTTTTTATCTCTTCGTAACTTTTATTCCTTTTTTTTGTAATTTTCTTTCGTTTTTCATAATTTTTCTCATTTTTTGTAATTTTCTTTCATTTTTCCTAATTTTTTCTAATTTTTTGTAATTTTCTTTCGTTTTTTCGTAATATTTTCCTTCTTCGAAATTTCTTTCTTTCTTTGTGACTTTTTTTTATCTCATCGTAACTTTTACTCCTTTTTTTGTAATTTTCTTTCCTTTTTCATAGTTTTCCCCATTTTTTTGTTATTTTCTTTTGCTTTTCCTTTTTGAGTTATTTTTTTTTCTTTTTTATTTATTTTCTTTCTTTCTTTGTAAATTTTTTTCCTTCCCGCAATTTTCTCCCGTTTTTTGGGGGAGGAATTTATTTTTCCTTTTCGTAATTTTCTCTCCTTTTTTCAAAATTTTCTTTTCTTTTCAGAAATTTTCTTCCTTTCTTTTTTCATAATGTTTTTCTACTTTTTATAATTTTCTTTCTTTTTTCATAATTTTTACAATGTTTCTTATATTTTTTCTTTTCTCCTAATTTTCTTGTCTTCTATTTTCGTTAATGTTTATAATTTTTCTCTTTTCTGTTTCATTGAAAAACAAAAAAAAAAAAAAAAAATAGGTGACGATAAATTGACCCTCTATGAGAAGAGTTTTTTGTCACGAATGAAGCCAACGGTTCTTTGCGAGGCTGAAGGCGGTGTCCTTGCAACCGCTTGGACGGGACAATTTGTCGCTTGGGCATCGACGACGGGAGTTCGTGTTTACGATTTAAATAGTCGTTGCTCACTGGGACTTTTTACATGGCCGCGATCTCCAGAGTGAGAAATTCTATTTTCCTACTTTTTCTTTATTTAGTTATTTTAAACTTTTAACGTTTAAATTAAATTAAATTAAATTTTTATTTTTTATTTATTTTTTATTTATTTATTTATTTATTTTATTTTTTATATTCTTTACTTTATTATTTTTAATTTATTATTCGTGTTTGATTCACAGAACAATTCCCGAACATTATCGTTGCAATTTACGTTGGTCGGACGATAGAACACTTTTAATTGGCTGGGTTGACACGGTGCGAATTTGTCAAATTAAAAAACGATCGTCACTGGAAATGGCAAATCGTGATTTACCCGAGTATGTCGTCGATCCAGGTAATATCTATTTTTCTTTCATTAATTTCCAATTCAGAGAATAAATAATAAAAATAGTTACAGAAAAGAATGATAATTTTAATTTAATAATTTTTAGTTTCAACGTTTCAAGTTGATTTCTATATATCGGGGATTGCGCCCTTGGAAAATCAACTCGTTCTTCTTGGTTGTTCGAAAATTCTTGACGACGAGGGCAAAAGTTTACGACCAACGTTACATATTGTCGAGCCAAAATATCAGGATTTCTCCACAGTTTGCGTTAATTCGTTGACGTTGCGTGGTTATAAGGAGTACAGTTGCAACGACTATCATTTGGATTGTCTCATCGAAGAAAATAGGTTTTTCTTCTTTTTGATTTCCCTTATTATTTCTTATTGTTATTAGAAAAATTTTCTGTTCTTCACTCTTTTTTTCTTTTTTCCGATGGTTTTTTTTTCTATTTTATTTATTTCTTTTTTGTTCGAATAAAAACAAAACTCGTAATATTTATTTATTTATTTATTTATTATCAAAAAATGACTGATTTATTTATTTTCACAGATTTTTCATTGTAAGTCCAAAGGATTTAGTCGTCGCGAGTCTCTACGACGCTGACGATCGTATACAATGGCTTTTGGAGCACAGAAAATTTGAGAGAGCCCTCGAGGCAGTGACAATAAACGGTGGCAAGGATTGTAAACACACGCAAACGGACGTTGGTCGTGTTTATTTAGATCATTTATTGGCGTGCGAAAAATACGAGAAAGCTGGAAAACTCTGTCTCACGATTCTCGGGCAAAATAAAAAACTCTGGGAAGAAGAGGTATTTTTTATAATAATAATTTATAATAAAAGGGAAAAAATAATTTATCACAAAAAGGCAGAAATAGTTTATAAAAAAAATCCCCAAAAAAAGAATAATTTCAATAAAAGCAAAGAAAAACTTATTTTTTTCATGAAAAAATAAATAAATAAATAAATAAAAAATGAAAATTGAGTTAATTTTAAAAATTTGTTCTTTTCGTTATTTCAGGTTTACAAATTCGCACGCGTCCATCAATTACGTTCAATATCCGCCTATTTACCACGTGGCGATATTACACTCGATCCATTAATTTACGAAATGGTACTCTATGAATATTTAAAAATTGATCCCGATGGCTTTTTGCAATTAGTGAAGGAATGGTCACCGAAATTATATACAGTTACTGCGGTGGTTAATGGCGTACTTGAACATTTATTGGGCAATAATTCGAGGCAAAATGTATTACTCGAAGCATTGGCAATACTCTATAGTCACGATGGTAAATACGATAAGGCATTGGCAATGTATTTGAAATTACGACACAAGGATGTATTTCAATTAATACAAAAGCATCAACTCTATAATGCCGTTTACGATATGATCGAGGGTTTAATGGATCTTGACGCCGAGAGGGCGATACAATTTTTTCTCGATAAAGAACGTGTGCCGTCCGATATTGTCGTGCAAAAATTACAAAATAATCATCGCTACCTTTATATGGTAAACAATTATTTACTTTTTTTTAATTAGTTGGATTTTATTTTCATTCTTTTTTTCAATTTTTTTTTTTATTTATTTTAATTTATTTTGCTTTTTTATTTTCTTTCCTTTTTTAGTTTATTTCGATTTTATTATATTTCTTTGATTACTATTTTGTTTTTCTTTTGTTTTATATTTTTTTAATTTATTTTTTTTTTATTTTATTTTCTATAATATTGATAAATATCTTTGCTTTAGTATTTGGACGCTTTGGACAAAAAAGATACGAAGGATTCAAAAGGAAAATACCATGGAATTCTTGTTCGTTTATATGCGGATTATTCGCGTGATAAATTATTGCCATTATTGAGACGCTCCGATAATTATCCAATTCAACAAGCATTGGATATTTGCAGTCAACGACAATTTTATCCAGAAATGGTATTTTTATTGGGACGAATTGGCAATACATCGGAGGCATTGGCATTGATGACACGTGAACTCAACGATATGGAGAGTGCAATTGCATTTTGTCAGGAGCACGACGACGAGGAATTGTGGAATGATCTTGTTAATTATTCACTCGATAAACCGGGTATTTTTCTCTCTGTCTTTTTATTTTACTTTAATTTATATTTTTCTTTCGTCTTTTATTTTTATTTCATTGTTTTTTATTTACTTTTCCAATTTTTTTATTTATTTTCCTTTATTATTTGGTCTAATTAGTTGAAATAAAAATTATTCTCAAAAATTTTCATAAAATTCTTAAAAGCAATGAAAAAATTTGTTAATTTCTTTGAAACAATTCAATTATTTAAAAAGAAAATTATTAAAATTGAAAGCAAACATTTTATTTGAAAGAAAAACAGTAATAATAATATTAAATTAATTTCCATGTGCTTTTCTTTGTTTCTTTTAGAGGCCATAACGTTTCTGTTGCAAAAAATTGGAACGTACGTTGATCCGAGGCTTATGGTTCAGAGGATAGAGCCGTCGTTGGAAATTCCCGGTTTAAAGAAAGCTCTAGTTAAAATGATGTGCGATTATAATCTTCAAGTGTCGGTACAAGAGGGATGTAAAAAAATACTCGTCAATGACTATTTTAATTTACACGAGAGGCTCGTTCGTTGTCATGAAAAAGGAATTTTCGTTGATGGTGAGAGTAAAAAAATAAAAATCGACAGAAATTTACAAGAAAAAGTTTAATTTTATTTAATTTAAATTTCAAATATTTACTCGTTTGTTCATTTAATTATTTTTCGTTTTTCTCTTTGCAGATGATCAAATTTGTGGTGCGTGCAACAGAAAAATAATCATAAGAGGTTTGTATTTTATTTTCGATAAAAATGTGAATTAGTATTTTTTTTTTACTCAATTTTTCAATATAATTTTTCTACTCTAATTATTACTTATTTATTCATTTTTGTATTTTTCTTTTAGAACCCAGAAATCTAGTCATTTTTTACTGTAAACATTCGTTCCATGAAGACTGCCTGCCAAATTTGGAAGTTGTGGTAAGTTTCTTTAGAAGAAAATTATTTTTTCTTGATAATTTGAAAACAGGGACCGATTTTAAAACGAAACTAAATTAAAAATTTACGTTTAATTTAGTTTTGTGTCGACCCGAAACTAAAACTAAACTAAACATTCGTAAAGGTCCCTGGTTTGAAATTTTGTATTCGTTTAAATTTAAAAATAATTTATTATTATTATTATTATTGTAAAATTGTAAATTCAAAATTTCTCTTTTTACAGGACAATTGTGTTATATGCAATCCTCAAAAGGAAACAAATCTTGGCAAATGATGAAGGTACTTAATAATTATTAATTAAAAATTTTACTGTAAAAAAACTGTTTTTAATGATTAAAAAATTTCAATTACAAATTAAAAAGAAAAATTACGAAAAAAAAATTAAAATTTATGTTTATTTAAAATTGAAAAAATGTATAATTAAAAAAAGTATGTTTAATTAAATAGTTATTATAATCATTATTAAAATAATTAACAATTAAAATAATATAAAAATGCAAAATTTTGATTTTTCTTTTTCTTTGAAAAATTTTTTTAATTGTTGCAGAGATTTTTCTATTTTAAACTCTTGAATTTTTTTTTCTTCCAGGTCCTGCAATTTGTCAGCAATTTTTGTCAATTATTGGCAGGAATTTTCATTTTTTTTCGAAAAGTTGACAAATTTTTCACGACATGAAAAACAACTCTTGTTTTATTGTAATCTAGGAAGAATTTTTCTTTTCTTTCTTAAAAGGGAAAAAATAAGAAATTTAATTATTTTTATTAAAATAGAAAACAATATTTTTTTTACAAATTATTTTTATTAAAACGAAAAAATATTCTTTTTACAAATTATTTTTATTAAAATAGAAAAAAATATTCTTTTTACAAATTATTTTTATTGAAACAAAAAAATATTCTTGTTATAAGTTGTCAGTTTCTACTTAAAAATACAAAAAATTTTTTTTTCAAATTATTTTCTGCTAAAGTAGAAAAAATTATTTTTACTAAAATAGAAAAATTTTTTTTCCTTAATTCACAAGAAAATATTTTTTTTACAAATTTTTTTCTTTACCTAAAATAAACTTTTTTCCCTCAATTTACAAATTTTCGATTTTTAAAGAAAGAACTTTTATTTTTTTATTTAGAAAATTAACAAATTTCTGTTTTTATTTACTTTTTTTGTTGAAAAATTTTCCACTTTTATAAAAGTAGAAAGAATTTTTTACAGAAGAAAAGAAAAAAATCTATTTGTTTTTAAATATTATTAAATAGTAATAATAATATTTTTTTTTGTTAATTAATTGTACAGTAATGAATTTTTTTTTATTTATAAAATTTTTCTTTGTCTTTTAATCATTTTTCCGGGTTTTTTTAATTGTATATTTTTTTTTTTTTTTGTAAAATAGAAACAAAAAGACAATTTTTGTAATAATATTCGGGAAGTTATTAAATAATTTCCTGAAAAATAGAAAATAAATATTAGAAAATTATTTTTAGAATAGAAAATTTATAACATTTTTTTGTACATTTTCTAATTGAAACAAAAAAACAATTTTTTTTTTTGTATTAAATTTAATAATTGTAATTGTATTTAAAACAATAAATTGTTGTCGTTTATTTTACTAAAAAACGCAAAAACTTTATTTATTTGCTTCTTTTTCTTCACTTTAACAATATTTAGAAAAATTAAAAGTTTATTTATTTTAATTAATAATTTTTAAATTTAAATTTTATTTTAAAAAAATTTTTTTTAATTTAAAAATTTTTTTTAATTTTTAAATATTTTTTAATTAAACTTTTTAAAAACTTGTTTTCCTATTGCACTCTAACAATTTATTTATTCACCTATTCACGAAATAAAAATTTACAAAAAAAAAATTTGCCTTTGCAAAAAATTGTCAAATAAAAAAGAAATTAATATTTCGATGTTTATTTAAACTATTTATTAAAAATTTGTTTGATTTTTAGATTTTAACAATTTATTAATTTGTTTATTTATTTAAAAATAAACAAAAATTTGGAATATGTTCTTAACATTACAAATAGAATTAAAAAAATATTAATTTCGTTTTACACTTTTGAAAATTGTCAAAATTTAAAAATTTGAATTTTCCCGCGTTTCGCTCGACACCTGACGACAGGGAACGGAACTAAATTTAAATCGCATTCAAAATGGCGACGTTTTGTGATTTAAGTTTCGGGAGTTTCGACATTAATTATGAAGATTAGAAACAAAATGTCATATTAAACAAGTGTTAAGAGTGTTTTTTTTAAGTTTCCAGATAAAACCTACTTAATATTATACGTGTATTTTTTTTTTTTTTCATTTCGCGCTTTTTTCTGCGCAAACTTATATTTTGACATTTTGAGGTTGGAATTCATATCGGCGCTAAAATATTCGCAGTAAATTTATTTTTTATACTTAAAAATAAAATAAATAAAATTCATCACTTCGAGTGTAAATTTCTATAAATTCTAAAGTTTTTCTTTGTGTGAATAATTTAATTTTTTTTCGGAAATTTGTTTGTTTATGACGAACATAACCTCATTTTTCCAAACGTCGTGAGTTGAATTGTATGTTTTTTTTCTGTTTTTATAGTTTAATAAGTGAATAATACGAACTGTCTGTGAAATTTTAACGATAATTAACGTTTACCACGATTATAATAAATAAATTTAGAAAATGAATCACGACAAAAAAGGCGGAAGAAGAAGTAGATCGCGAGAAAGGGATCGCGATCGTGAGAGAGATCGTGAAAGAGAAAGAGGACGAGATCGAGATCGAAGGGACAGAAAAAGATCAAGAAGTCGTTCAAAGGATCGAAAAAAGGTAAAAAAAAAATTATTATTCAATTAAGAAACATAAATAATAAGTAACATTTTCCTGACTTTCATATTAAAAATAATATTCACTTTTCTTATTCTGCTAAAATAAGTTCAATTCTAAATTTTTATTAAATTCAATTATTTTCCAAACTTTTAGTTAGAATTGTTTAAAAATTCGATTATATTTAAATTCTTATTAGAAATTTCTACAAGAATTCAATTATTTAAATACAAAAATAAACAATTTATTAACAATTAATTCGAAAAATAATGTTTTAATTGAGTCATTTCTTTTGAAAATTTTTCTTGTAAATTGTATTTCAAATAATAATTGAATTCTTTTGAAAATTTTATTATTTACAAATTGAATTTTATTAATTTTTTCTTTTTTTAATAATTAAATTCCTTCGAGAAATTTTTATTAAAATAGTAGATAAATTTTGAAAATATTTGAATTTCAGCGAAGAATTTTATTATTTGTGAAAATAATTGAATTCTTGCGAAAAATTTTTTAACAAATTTTTGAAAATAATTGAATTCTTGCGAAAATTTATCCAACAAATTTTTGAAATTAATTGAATTGTGTCAAAGAATTTTATAAAAATTTGTTAAGAATAATTTTCTTATTTTAATTATTAGCAGATTTTAAAGGTAGTGCAAATTTTCAAAAGAAAAAAAATTTACAATCTTTTAGTTTTTAAGTTTTTTTTAAATTACCTAAAAAGTTTGAATAACTTTTACTTTTATTTTTAATAGAATAATAAATTTTTTTCTCTCTTTTCCCTTAGGACAGAAAACGTTCGCGATCAAAGGAACGTGAAAGATCGCGTGATCGTGACAGATCACGAGAACGTGATCGTTCACGTGAGCGCAACAAGGATTCAAAGGACAAATCAAAAGACGATAAAAAACGTAAATCAAGTCCAATATTTATTCTCGACAATGACGGGAAAAAGGATGGAAAAAAAGATGACGATGAAGCAACAAATAAAGACGAGACAAAAGATGGAACAAAAAAAGAACCCTTAAGCCTCGAGGAATTATTATCAAAAAAGAAAGCCGAAGAGGAGGCGCGTGCAAAGCCAAAATTTCTCTCCAAAGAAGAGAGAATGGCATTGGCATTGAAGAAGCGTCAGGAGCAAGTTGACGCGATAAAGAAGAAAAATGACGAGGAGAGGAAAATTGTCAATCAAAGTGGTTCGAGTTCAACGAGTAATAAGGATAAGGAACGCGATTGGGAGAATAGTGGCGGCGGTGGTGGTGGTGGTGGTGATCGTGAGAGACGTCGGGAAAGTCAGAAGGCAAGGGAAGAGGATGTTAAGGATAAGGACAAGGAGCGTGAAGTTGAAGCGATAAAGGAACGTTATCTTGGTCTTATTAAGAAGAAACGACGAGTTAGACGATTGAATGATAGGAAATTTGTATTCGATTGGGATACGTCGGAGGATACTTCGGTGGATTATAATAATATTTACAAGGAACGTCATCAGGTGCAATTTTTTGGACGTGGCAATCTTGCTGGTATTGATATCAAGGCGCAGAAGCGAGATCAGAGTAAATTTTATGGAGAATTACTTGAGAAACGACGAACCGAAGCTGAGAAGGAGCAGGAAAAGTATGAAAATACAAAAATAGATCGCTGAATAGAAAAGAAAATTTTTTTGTCAGTGAAATTAAGAAAATTTAGACTTTCTTTTAGACTTATTTTCAAAAATTAGCGAATTTTTCGACTTTTATTTATTTATTCATTTATTGAAAACAAGTCCATAGGGCTTAAAATCCTTCAAGGAAGAAATTACATATAGAGTAACAATTGTAGAAATCAATTATTATTATTATTATTGTCTAGAATTTTTAACTAAAATTCTTCTCTAAGTCGATTATTTTTAATCATTTTTGATAAAGTTCTTCTTTGAGAATTTTTAAATTCATTTGTTTACAATTCAATTTTACCAAGAATTTCGATTATTCGGAAATTCTTCAATTAAATTTATATTAGAAAATAAAAACTTGAATTAATTTCAAAACAAAAATTCAATTAAACTTTATTCAAAAAAAATTAATTCTACAGAATTGTTGGTTAAAAGTATTTAAAAATTTTTAATTTCCAAACATTTCAATTTAAAACCTTTTCAAAATTGAAATTTTAACATGAATTTTATTAAAATTTTTAAAAATAATTCAATTTTGAAAAAGAATTTTATTATTTATAAAGATAATTAAAATTTTAAAGAGAATTTCAAAGAAGAATTTTATTATTTTTAAAGGTAATTTAAATTTTAATATGAATTTTATTAAAATTTTTAAAAATAATTGAATTTTGAAGTAAAATTTCATTATAATTTTTAAACAAAAATTGAAATTGTGCTTAAAATTTTTGAAAATTGAAATTTTTCATGAATTTTATTAAAACTTTGCCAAGAATTGTATTAAAGTTTTTTAAAGAAAATAATTGAATTTCGAAGAAGAATTTTTTTATTTATAAAGATAATTAAAATTTTGACTAGAATTTTATTATAATTTTTAAATAGTAATTAAAATTGTAATAATCAAAAAAAATTAATACCACAGAATTGTTGGTTAAAAGTATAAAATTTTCAAATTTCCAAAGATTTTAATTTAAAACCTTTTCAAAATTGAATTTTTGCCAAGAATTTTAATAGAATTTTTGAAAATAATTAGCATTTTAAACAACAATTTTATTAAAATTTTTAAAAATAATTGAAATTTTAACAAGAATTGTATCAAATTTTTTGAAAATAATTGAAATTTTAACAAGAATTTTATTAAAATTTTTAAAAATAATTGAATTTTGAAAAAGATGTTTATTAATTATAAAGATAATTTAAATTTCAAAGAGAATTTTTAAACAATTTTTAACATTAATTGAATTTCTGCGAAGAATTTTATCAAAATTTTTGAAAATAATTGAATTTCAAAGAAGAATTTTATTATTTATAAAGATAATTTAAATTTTGACGAAAATTTTATTATAATTTTTAAAAAATAATTGAAATTGTGCTAAAAATTTTATTAAAATTTTTGAAAATTGAAATTTTTCATGAATTTTATTAAAATTTTTGAAAATAATTATTGAAATTTTGACGAGAATTTTTAGTATAATTTTTAAAAAATAATTGAAGTTATGCTAAGAATTTTATTAAAATTTTTGAAAATAATTGAAATTTTGCCAAGAATTTTATTAAATTATTTTAAAAAGTAATTGAATTTCGAAGAAGAATTTTATTATTAATAAAGACAATTGAAATTTTGACGAAAATTTTTAAAAATAACTGAAATTGTGCTAAAAACTTTATTAAAATGTTTGAAAATTGAAATCTTGACATGAATTTTATTAAACTTTTTGAAAATAATTGAAATTTTGAAGAATAATTTTATTATTTATAAATATAATTGAAATTAAGACGAGTTTAAAAAAATCTTTTGAACATAATTCATATTTTGCCGAAAATCTTTTTACTTTTTAAATAATTGAATTTCTGCAATCATTTGTAAATTTTCTAAAATTCAATTTTTTTAGTGTCTCTAAATAAAATTTTTCTATAAATTAATTTTTTTAAATATTTAATTAAGTATATAATATTAAAAAAATTCAACTAATTTCAAAAGAATTGTAATTATTACAATTTTTCAAAAAAAAATTAGTTCTGCTGAATTATAATTTAAAAATTGTTAAAAATTCAGATTTTTAAATATTTTAATTTATAACATTTTCGAAATTCAATTATTTCTAAAAATTGCAATTATTTGTAGCTTCCCCGAAATTCAATTAATTTTTTTAGAGTTTTTAACTAAAATTCTTCTTGAAATAAACTATTTTCAATAATATTCCTCAAAATCAATTATTTATAATAATTAAATAAAATAATAATTGAATACTTATGTATTAAAAATTCAACTATAATTTCAGAATTATTTGAATTAAATTTTTCAAACAAATTAATTCTACAGAATTATTAGTTAAATGTTCGGAAGATTTAGATTTTCAAAGATTTTAATTTGCAAGCTTTTAAAAATTCAATTATTTCAAAAAATTCATGCTTTGTTTTTAATATTCAATTATTATTATTCGAAATTTTAACTAAAATTCATTTTGAAATAAATTTTTATTAGAAAATTCTACGAGAATTCAATTATTTAAATACAAATAAAATGCAAATAAATAATTTATTGAATAATTGAATGTTTCTTCAATATTTAATTCTCTTAAAAAAATCTATCAACAAATTTTTAAATAATTGAATTTTTTGACGAATTTTAATAAAATTTTTAACAATAATTACATTTTTCGAGGATTTGGATTTAAATTCATAATATTGTATTAAAAATAATTGAAATTCTGCTATGAGTTTTATTATTTTATGAAATTAATTGAGTTATTGCGAAGAAATTTAAAAAAAAATTCTAAATAATTGAATTCTTGTGAAATTTGTATTGTTTATGAAAATAGTTAAATGTTTACATTGAATTTTATTAACATTTTTTTTTTTCTGAATAATTGAATTCTTTTGGAATAATTTATTAAAATCGTAGATATTGAATTGAGGGAAATTTCTGAAAATAATGAATATTTTGGCAAGAATTTTATTGATATTTTTGGAAAATAATTGAATTTCGGAGAAGAATTTTATTATTTATAAAGATAATTGAAATTTTGATTAGAATTTTTTTTAATTTTTGATCAATAATTGTATTTTTGCGAAGAATTTTATTATTTTTGAAAATAATTGAATTTCGGCATTCATTTGTAACTTGTCAAAAAATTTTCAAATTATATCGTACAATTTACTAACTTTTCGTGAATCAACCTTTTTTTTTAATCAAATTACAAACTAAATCATTAAACTAAATTGTCATTAATTTCTGTTTTCATTTAGGATGCGTTTAAAGAAAGTGAAACGAAAAGAGGAGAAGCAAAAATGGGACGATCGTCATTGGTCAGAGAAGGGAATAACCGAAATGACAGAACGAGATTGGCGTATATTCCGCGAGGATTACAATATCACGATAAAGGGAGGTAAAATTCCTGATCCAATACGTTCGTGGAAGGAGTCCGGCTTTCCCAAGGAGATATTGGATATTATCGATAAAGTTGGCTACAAGGATTTAACGCCAATTCAACGGCAAGCGATACCAATTGGTCTGCAGAATCGCGACATTATTGGTGTCGCCGAGACTGGTTCGGGTAAAACGCTCGCTTTTCTCATTCCCCTGCTGTTGTGGATCACCAGTTTGCCGAAAATTGAACGACTCGAGGAGGCCGATCAGGGACCGTATTCCATTATTCTCGCTCCAACTCGGTATGTATTTTATATTTTCTCCATCTTAACGTATTTTTATATCTTTGCAAAAATTCAATTATTTTCAAAAAAATTTCACGAAAGAATTCAATTATTTTAAATCCTTTACAATAATTCAATTACTATTATCATAAATAATAAAATTCTTCTCAGGAATTCAATTATTTTTGAAAATTTTAATAAAATTCTTAGCAACTATTCAATTATTTTCATAAATAATAAAATTCATCGCAGGATTTCAATTATTTGTAAATCAATTTTTCAGGAATTGCTAAAAAAAATGTAATTTTTCTTAAAAATTTAATTTCAATTCCTTGAATAAAACAATTATTTAAAAAAATTTTTTTTAAATTCCTTGAAAGAATTCAATTATTTACAAAAATATTAAACTTTTTCATAGCAATTCAATTATTTTCAAATATTTTAATAAAATTCTTGGCAAAATTTCAATTATTTTCAAAAATTTTATTTAAATTCTTGGCAAAATTTCAATTATTTTCAAAAATTTTAATAAGATTCTCATCAAAATTTCAATTATCTTTATAAATAATAAAATTCTACTTCGAAATTCAATTATTTTTGAATACTTAAATAATATTCTTGGCAAAATTTCAATTATTTTCAAAAATTTTAATAAAATTCTTCGCAGAAATTCAATTCTTTTAAAACATTTTAATAAAATTTCTGGCCAAATTTTAATTATTTTTAAAAACTTGTCTTAATTCAATAATTTTCAATATCTACTATTTTAATAATTTTTTTTCTCAGGAATTCAATTATTTTTGAAAATTATAATAAAATTCTAGTCAAAATTTCATTTATCTTTATAAATAATAAAATTCTTCTTCGAAATTCAATTATTTTTTTTAAATACTTTAAAAAAATTCTTGTCAAAATTTCAATTATTTTCAAAAATTTTAATAAAATTCATGAAAAATTTCAATTTTCAAAAATTTTAATAAAATTTTTAGCACAATTTCAATTATTTTTTAAAAATTATAATAAAATTTTCGTCAAAATTTCAATTATCTTTATAAATAATAAAATTCTTCTTCGAAATTCAATTATTTTTTTTAAATACTTTAAAAAAATTCTTGTCAAAATTTCAATTATTTTTTAAAAATCATAATAAAATTCTAGTCAAAATTTCAATTATCTTTATAAATAATAAAATTTTTCTTCGAAATTTAATTATTATTAAAAGTTTTAACAAAACTCTTGGCAAAATTTCAATTATTTTCAAAAATTTTAATAAAATTCTTGTCAGAAATTCAATTATGTTAAGAAATTAAAAAAAATTCTCTTAAAAATTTCAATTACATTTATTAATAATAAAATTCACGGCATGATTCCAATTATTTTTAATATTAATATTACAGGAATTGTTTACAAATGTAATTATTCTTAAAAATTTAATTTCAATTCCTCGAAAAAATCAATTATTTAAAAAAATATTTTTTTAAAATTCTTTGGAAGAATTCAATTATTTACAAAAATATTAGAATTTTTCACAGGAATTCAATTATTTTAAATACAATTTTCATTCAATTTTTTTTTTAAATAATTCATTTATTCTTTTAGATTTTAATAAAATTCTTCACAAGAATTCAATTATTTACATAAATAATTCTTCGAATGAATTCAATTATTGAAGATAAAGAACAAAATTATTATAGAAAATTGAATTATTTTTAGGCATTTTAATAAAATTCTTTGCAAAATTCAATTATTTTCATACCTAACAATATTCATCACAAGAATGCAATTATTTTTTAATGTTAATACAGTTTTTCTTGGAAATACAATATTTTAAAATTTTTTTAAAAAATGTCACACAGACATTCAATTAATCTCAAAAATTTTAGTAGAATTATTTGTAAAATTTAATTATTTTTAAAAACTTTTTCCAATTTCAATGATTTTCAATATCTACTATTTTCATCAAATTTGCAAACAGAATTCAAATTATTAAAAAACTCGTTGTAAAAATCTTCGTAAGAATTCAATTCTTTTCATGAATAAAAAAAATTTCTCAGGAATTTCATTATTTAATTTAGAATTTAAATAAAATTATTCGAAATAAATGAATTATTTTTAAAAATTTTCTAAAATTCTTCACAAGAATTAAATTATTTTTATAAATATTTACATTCTTTGATGAATAATATGGAATTTGTTGAAGGAATTGAAGGAAGAAAGAAGTAAATATTTTTTTATGAAAATTAGGAAAAATTGAGGAAAATAAAAAATATGTAATGGAATTCTTGTCAGTTTTGTGAAGTGTTTAAAACGAGTTTTTTTGATAGTCAAGTTTAATTTTTCAATAGCTACTTTTTTACTATTTTTTAGTTTGAAAGCTACTTTTTAAAAAATTAATTATCGAGTGTGAAGTCTGTGCTTTCATAAACCGTAACATTGGGGGGAAACTTTTCAAATATCTATTTAATTTCTAGAACCGCGAAAAATTAATTTTTTTCTCTTTATTAATTTCTTTGCACTGGATAGAAAAGGAATATTAATTTTTTTGTTTGTTTCGAGTTTAATTGATGTTTTTTAACAGATGAAATATTTATTTCAGTGAATTGGCGCAACAAATTGAGGAGGAAACGAATAAATTTGGTCAACCATTGGGTATAAGAACTGTGGTCGTCGTCGGTGGTCTTTCGAGAGAGGAACAAGGTTTTAGGCTACGAATGGGTTGCGAGGTGACGTTTAACTAATAATAAAATAATTAAACTAATAAGAGATAAGAAAATAATAATAACAACAAAAACAAAAGGTGGTGTTTATTTTAAATAGTATAATTAACTTTAACCTATTTTGTATTTTAGATCGTTATCGCAACTCCGGGTCGATTAATCGACGTATTGGAAAATCGTTATTTGGTATTGACGCAATGCACGTACGTTGTACTCGACGAGGCTGATCGTATGATTGACATGGGTTTTGAGCCAGATGTGCAAAAAATTCTCGGCTACATGCCCGTGACGAATTTGAAACCAGATAATGAGGACGCGGAAAATGAGGAGAAACTGCTTGCAAATTATAATACAAAGAAGAAATTCCGACAGGTTTGTGACAACATTGTTTCTTTTTCTTCAACTATTTTCAACTGTTTTTTTATTATTAATTGTTTTCCCCTTAAATTATTTTTAAAAAAATCATTGTGATCAATTATTAATTGAATTTTTCTTGGGGAAAACTTTTCTTTAGACGGTGATGTTTACGGCGACGATGCCAGCGGCTGTTGAAAGATTGGCGAGAACTTATTTACGACGTCCGGCTGTTGTTTACATTGGAAGTATCGGTAAACCAACGGAGAGAACGGAACAAATTGTCCATATTATGGGCGAATCTGATAAAAGAAAGAAACTTATGGAAATTCTCAGTCGTGGCATTGAACCGCCTGTTATTATTTTTGTCAATCAAAAGAAAGGCGCCGATGTTCTTGCCCGTGGACTCGAGAAACTTGGGGTAAGAGTTGTTTTTTTATCTATTAATTTCCAAAATTTAGTTTATTTTTAATTATTTACTTAAATACAATAAATTAGAGTAAAACATAATTTTTATTTATTATTTATGTCTATTTATTTCTATTTATGTCTATTTATTTCTATTTATTTCTATTTATGTCTATTTATTACTTCCTCATAGAGGAAGTATTGTAATACCGAAATTTTTCGAGTTCGATTTTTTGACATATCTTTATGTTATTTGACCTCAGGAGTTCAAAAATGACATTTTTAAAAAATGTCATTCCGTATGTGTGTGTGTGTGTGTGTGTGTGTAAACATCACATTTTCATAAATATCTCGAAATCATGAAGAGCTATTGGACTGAATTTTTTTTTAAATTGTAGATCTCACCTGCGGACATAAAGCGAGAGTACTTTCTGATATATTAATAAAGTTTAACTAAATTTTTTTTGGATTTTTAATTTTGCAAAAAAAACGTTTCTTGCCCATAACTTTAAAAAAATGTTAGGACACCTATAAATGTTTTTCCATAATTTTGTAGAGTTTTTTTAGACGCATCTTTTGAGCCCTAATTGAACATTTTTCGTCCATATTAACCGGAGATATTAAACTTTTAAAAATTCAAAATTTTGGAAAATAAGACTTTTTTGAAAATTTTGTTGAAAAATGTAGAAGTAATCTTAAAATTATCGTTACCGACTTGTAGAGCTTCAAAAAACGCTTCGATTGACCTATTTTTGAACCTAATTCGATAATAAATTTCGAAATTATTGGTATTTTAAAAACCAAAAATTGTGGAAAATGACATTTTCTCAACTTTTTTGTTTAAAAATTTTTGTTTAACTATTAAATTATTGTAATTATCTTGTAGGGTATTTAAAAATAAATTGATTGACCCAAAATTCAATCACTTTTACCATATTTATAAAAAGTTATTCATATATTTCTATTATTTTTATCTCCATGAGGAAGTAAAGTGTTCATGAAATGAGCACCAAAATTATAAAAAAAAATTATACAACTTGGCAGCGGTTTTTCTATTTGTTTCTATTCATCTCTATTAATTTCTATTTAGAAAAAATGTTTCGCTAAATAATGTTCTATTTAGAAAGAAAAATTATTATTTGAAAGAAATTCTGAAAGAATAAAAAGTGATGAAAATTTTTTATTTTTAGTACAATGCTTGTACTCTTCACGGTGGTAAGGGACAAGAGCAAAGAGAATACGCTTTGGCGTCGCTAAAAGGCGGAAGTAAAGACATTTTGGTCGCCACTGACGTTGCCGGAAGAGGTATCGATATTAAAGATGTCTCAATGGTCATCAATTACGATATGGCGAAAACTATCGAAGGTAAAAATTGTCCATTTATTAAGGGAAGGAAAGTGGAAAAATTGATAAAAATTTTATTCTATTTTCCTGACTTTTTCCTAATTTTCAACAAAAATATTTACTTTTTTCTTATCCTGATAATAAAAATTCATTTCCTGCAACGAATTTTATTATTCGTGAAAGAATTTAAATATTTATAAAAATAATCCAATTCTTGCGAAGAATTTTTATAAAAATTTTTAAATAATTGGTTTTTTTCGACTAATTTCATGCAAATTCTAATTTAAATAATTGAATTCCTGAGAAATTTTTATTATTCATGAAATAAATTGAATTCTTACGAAGATTTTTAGCAAAAAAATTTTTAAATAATTGAATTCTGTTTGCAAATTTGATGAAAATAGTAGATATTGAAAATCATTGAAATTGGAAAAAGTTTTTAAAAATAATTAAATTTTACAAAGAATTCTATTAAAATTTTTGAGAATAATTAAATGTCTGTATGGCATTTTATTAAATTTTTTTGAGAATAACTGAATTCCTAAAAAGCATTTTATTATTTATGAAAATAATTTAATTCTCCCGAACGATTTTGTTAGAATTTATTAAAAATAATTGAATTTCCAAGACAAAATTTATTACATTTAAACAAAAATTGAATTCTTGTGATGAATATTTGTTATCTATGGAAATAATTAAATTTTGCAAAGAATTTTATTAAAATGACTCAAAATAATTGAATTTTCGGAAATAATTTTGTAATTTATGTAAATAATTGAATTCTTGTGAAGAATTCTAATATTTTTGTAAATAATTGAATTCTTCCAAAGAATTTTTTAAAAAATCATTTTTTTTAAATAATTGATTTTTTCGAGGAATTGAAATTAAATTTTTCAGAATAATTACATTTTTAAACAATTCCTGTAAAATTATATTGAAATGTTTAAAAAAATTTGAATTTCTGCGAAGAATTTTATTAAAATTTGTGGAAATAATTAAATTTTTACCAAGAATTTTATTCACATTTTTAAAAATAATTGAATTTTGAAGAAGAATTTTATTATTTGTACAGATAATTGAAATTTTTACAAGAATTTTATTAAAAATTTTTTAAATAATTAAAATTTTGCCAAGAATTTTATTAAAGTTTTTGAAAATAGTTGAAATTTTGCTAAGAATTTTATTAAAATATTTGAAAAAAATTTAATTCCTTTAAAAAATTCCAAATTTTTTAAATAATTGAATTCTTCTAAAGAATTTAAAAAAAAAACATTTTTTGAAATAACTGATTTTTTCGAGGAATTAAAGTTAAATATTTAAGAATAATTACATTTTTTGAACAATTCCTGTAAAATTATATTGAACTGTTTTAATAGATTTTAATTTCTGAAGAATTCTATTAAAATTTTTGAAGATAATTGAATTTTTACCAAGAATTTTATTAAAATTTTTGAAAATAATTAAATTTTATAGAAGAATTTTTTTATTAAAAAATATAATTGAATTTTTTAAGAGAATTTTATTAAATGTCTCAAAAAAATTGAATTTCTGTCAAGAATTTTATTAAAATTTTTCAAAATAATTGAATTTCGAAACATTTGATTATTTATAAAAACAATTGAAAGTTTGAAGAGAATTAAAAAAAATTTTTTACCATAATTGAATTTTTGCGAAGAATTTTATTAAAATTTTTTGAATTATTGAAATTTTGACAAGTATTTTATTATAGTTTTTGAAAATAATTAAAATTTTGTCAAAGAATTTCATTTAAATATTTGAAAAAATTGAATTTCTGTGAAAAATTCTAATATTTTTGTAAATAATAATTGAATTCTAACAAAGAATTTTAAAAAAAATATTTTTTCAAATAACTGATTTTTTCGAGGAATTGAATTTAAATTTTTAAGAATAATTACATTTTTTTTAACAATTCCTGTAAAATTCTATTAAAAATAATTGAAAGCCTGCGATGAATTTTATTAAAATTTTTAAAAATAATTGAATTCCTGAGAAGAATTTTATTATTTATGAATATAATTGAATTATTGCCAAAAAATTCTATTAAAATGTTTAAAAAGAATTGAATTTCTGTGAAAAATTTTGTTATTTTTGAAAATAATTGAATTCTTGTTAATAATTTTATCAAAAATTTTTTTCAAAAGTTGACATTACATTAAAAATGTTAATATTAGTGAAAGTAATTGAATTACTGTGAAGAATTATATAAAATATTTTTTAAATAATAAATTTTTTCGAAATTTTTTTGAAACTGTTATTCTAAATTAATTGAATTTCTGTGGAAATTTTATTGTTTATGAAAATAATTGAATTTTGGATGAATTGTATCAATTTTTTTTTTAAATAATTGAATTCTTTTGCGAAATTTTATGAAAATATTAGATATTGAAAATAATTGAATTTCGAATATTTTTTGAAAATAATTGAATCGTTTTAAAGAATTTTATTATAATTTTTGAGAATATAGTTTTTTTTATCTCTAGTATTAGTGAATTTAAAGTAGTGGAAATTCTCAAAAAAACAAACAGAAATTTTAAGAAAAATTATTAAAAAATTTGAAAATAATTGTTTTTTAAATTAAAATTTATGATAAATACTGAAAGTACGAAAAATAAAATAATTCTTTTTTCTATTTTTGATTTGATAAATGATAATTTTTGAAAAATTCTTTATAGATTACACGCATCGTATTGGAAGAACTGGTCGCGCTGGAAAAGCGGGTTTGGCGATTTCGTTTTGCACAAAAGACGACAGTCATTTGTTTTACGATCTCAAGCAAACGATTATTGCAAGTCCAATATCAACGTGCCCGCCGGAACTTCTCAATCATCCGGAAGCTCAACACAAGCCAGGAACTGTTGTCACGAAAAAACGACGAGAGGAAAAAATATTCGCCTAAAACAATATACATTTCACTATTTGTATTGTACATACAAAATTACATGTGAGTAAAAAGTAATTCATATTCTCGAAAATAAATTCTTTATTAACAACAATAGGAACAATAACAACAACAAAATAACGAAATTAATGACAAATCATAATTACAATTAGAATTTACAATTTATTTTCAATTAATCGATTGAAAATTAAATAAGAAGAAATTTTCACAAAAGAAAAATCTCTTCACAATAGTTTTAATCAATTTTCAAACAAGATGATAATAATTTACTGATTTTATTTGTTGATTTTTCTTATCATTTTTGCGTGATTTTTATCAATTCTGCCTAATTTTTTTATTATCGAAATTATTATTATTTGCGTAAAGTTTATAAATTAGATCAATCAATCAATATTGATTATGATTTTATTTTTTATTTAATTTTAATTCACTTGTTAAGAATAATCGATTAATTTGTTGAGACAAATTTATTCTATTTTCATTTAATTAACTAAGTCGTTAAGAAGACAATAAATTAACAGTTGAAGTTTTTTATTTGACTATTTTATAGACTATTTTTTATTGATCACAGAAAATTTTTTCGCTTTTTTTATACAGTTTCTCTTTTTTCGTTCTAAGATTTTTATTAATTCTTTATTTTCGCAATTTTATACGTTTATTTACATTTTTTCCAGGAATTTAAAACAATAAATTATTTTTTACAGTTTGGAATTATTAATTTATACCTAGATTAGAAATTTAATAATTTAATTAGAAATTTTTGAATTTAATGTTTTAAATTTGAAATTACAAAATAAAAAATTTTAACTTTAAATTACAAAATTTTCAATTTAAACTTTTAAGTTCAGAAAAAAATGTTAATTATAGACTTTTAAATTTAAAGTTTGAAAGTAAAATTTTTATTTTAAAATTTTAAATTCGAATTTTAATATTTAAACTTTTAATTTATAAAATTTTGCTATTTTAAGTCTTTTTTTAATATAAAGTTTTAAATACAAATTTTATTTGAATTTTTTAATTTAAAACTTTGAAAATATAGAATTTTGCTGTTTTTTGTCTTAAATTTAAAATTTAAATTTGGAATTTTTCTAATTTAAACTTCAAAATAACGAAATTTTAAATAAAACTAATTACCTAAATTTTTTGTACTCTTTAGACGAAAATAATTACTTTAAATTCAGAAATTTATTAAATTTATCATTGAAATTATTTGAATGTAAAGTAATTTTTTTCTTTTAAATCGGTATTTTTAATTAATTAATTAGTTAACATTAATTAATTGATTAATTAATTATTTAATTGGTTAATTAATTAATTAATCAATTGGTTAAAATTAATAATTAATTGACTAATTAATTAATATTAAGAGATGTAAAGTTCTAATAATTGTTTCTAATTTTTTTTCCCTCCGTGGGGAAGAATTTTCAAGGTAATGGAATTTTTCCCGGTACCCAATTTGGATCCTTTAATTGACACAGTTCCGACCATTCGCTCGTGGTCATGAGCATTGGTTTCATCAATGACTCAAATTGCTCTAAAGGACAGGCGCGAGAGCATCCGGGTATCGTCAAGGGTCGCGGCGGTTTTGTTGTTGAATCTTTAAGGAATACCTGCAAATTAATTGAATATTTTTTATTTTTTTTTTCATTAAATAAATATAAATTATTTATTTCGTTATTTGTTAATTTAATTATTTATTTGCTTAGTTATCTGTTTATTTATTTGATTATTCATTTATTAACTTATTTGTTTAAATAATATATAAGTAAATAAATAAGAACAAACAAAAACAATAACAATAAATAAAAAAATAGTTAATATATAAATATAATTACTAATTTTTTTGTTTTATTTTTTGTTTATCTATTTATTTGTTTATTTATTTATTAACTGAAAAATTCACCTGAACATTCCAACCGTTACTGTCCTCGTGTAATTCAATCATAACCATATTACTGTAGCCGGGAATTTCCCTCTGCCAAAGATTCAGTCCCGCCAATATTGCAACAATTGTCGAATCATGACCAACGTACATAAACATTTTTCTCTCCTTTGGCATTAATTTACCCTCCGTTTTTTCCTTCATTGCTCGCGCTATTTTCGATACTAACGGGCCGCTCTTCATTTGTCTCAACGTTTCATTATAAACATTCAACGACAAACTTAATTTACTCAATTCTGTTAATTTATCAGGAAAGAATTCTTTTGTCCATTCCGGCAATTTCAGTCCCATATTTTCCTGTGAAAACGAAAATGTTCTTATTATTAATTATCAGCTATTTATACCAATTACTAATTTATTTATAAATAAATAAATAATTTACTTATAAAAAGGAGAAGAAATAAAATAATGATACAAATTCATTATTTTATTTTGTTTGTTTTTTGTTTGTTGAGTAATGAGAAGGCCTAGATTATTTTATTATTTTTTTAAAATTTTATTTAATTATTAATTTAGTTGAAAATAATTCTTTTTTTCTAAACAATTACTTTATAAATTATTTATTAAGTCATTAAGTTCTTTATAAATAATTGGTTAATAATTCATTTATAAAGTAATCAATTTTGTTTGTTAATAACCAGTTAATAATTTATTTATTTATTAATTGAGCAATAAATTATTGATTGTTAATAACCAGTTACAGGGTTGCCACGCAACCTGGAAAACCTGGACATGTCAGGGAATCTTATAAACCTTAAAAAAACCTGAAAAAGCCAGGGAATTTTGATCGAAATCCTGGAAAATTGTTATTTTCTAAAGTTTATTCTTGAAATCTAATTTTACATAAATATTTCAAAATTAATTAAATTTTAAAAAAGTTGCGTTTACAATTTTCATAAGTACAGATGAATTTCAAAAGATTTTAATTTGAAATTTTGTAAAATTTCAATTTTCAATGAATTTAACTAGAAATCGTCTTAAAGAACGTAAATTTTTGAGAAATTTTAATTATTCCAATTCTTCTGAAATTAGTTAAATTTTTTAATAAATATTCTTCATTGATTATTAAAAATAATGGATTTATAGAAGAATTTTAATTAAAAAAAACTAAAAGAAATTGAATTTTGAAGCAATTACAAATGATTGCATAAATTCAATTATTTTTCAAATTAGTAAAATTCTTCTTAGAAATTCAATTATTTCCAATAACAATTTTAATAGAATTCATGACAAAATTCCAATTATTTTCAAAAACTTTCCTCAATTCAATGATTTCTAATAAATCTACTACTTTAATAAAAATTTTCAAAATAATTCAAATATTTAAAAAAAATGTTTAAATTCTACGCAAACATTTCATTATTTTCATAATTAATAAAAACTCATCTCAGACTTTGAATTATTTTTAATACAATTTTAATTAAATTCCTCGAAAAATGAAATTATTCTTAAAAATTTTATTAAAATTCATCAAAGAAATTTAATTATTTAAAAAGACATTTTAATAAAATTCGTCTCAATAAGAATTCAATTATTTTCAAAAGTAATATAATTCTTCGCAGAAATTTAATTGTGTTCAACAATTTACAAAAATTCTCGTCAAAATTTCAATAATCTTTATAAATTTTTCTCCAAAATTCAAATATTTTCAAAAACTTTAATAAAATTCTTGGCAAAATTTCAATTATTTTCAAAAACTCTTATAAAAAAAAAGTTTCAAAAACTCTTTTCTCTTTAGAGAAATTCAATTATTTTTAATAAAATTTGAATCAAATTTCCGAAAAATAAACTTATTCTTAAAAATTTTATTAAAATTTGTCAAGAGAATTCAATTATTTAAAAATTTATTGATAATAGTCTTTATAAAAATTCAATTTTAAGAAACATTCAATTATTTAATAAAATATTTATTTTTGTATTTAAATAATTGAATTCTCGTGGATTTGTCTAGTAAATATTGATTTAAAAATGAATTTCAGTTAAAATTTTAGATTATAATTGAATTTTAAAAGCATTAGAGCGTAAATTTTTAGAAATAATTGAATTTCGAAAATGTTTCAGATTAAAATCTTTTAGAAAATTTGAAGTTTTCATACTTTTAATTAACAATTCTGTAGAATTTATTTTTTAAAAAAGTTTAATTAAATTTTTCATTAATTTTTAAAGTTTTTATTTTCTAATATACATTTAATTGAAGAATTTTAGAATAATCAAAATTACGTAAAAATTAATATTGAAAATAATTGAATATTTACGAAAAATTTTATCATTTTTGAAAATAATTGAATTATTTCGAAGAATTTTATTCAAATTTTTTTGAGAATAATTGAATTATTTCGAAGAATTTTATTCAAATTTTTTTGAGAATAATTGAATTCCTGCGAATAATTTTATTATCTATAAAAATAATCAAATTCTTGTGACAAGATTTTTAAGGAAATTTATAGAATTAATTTTTCTCAAAAAGTTTAATGGAATTTTTTTGTTAATTATTTAAAGTTTTTAATGTCTAATTTATCTAATTGAAGAATGTCAGAATAATCGAAAGTTCAGGTAAAATTAAATTGTAAACAATTGGATTTAAAAATTCTCAAAGAAGAACTTTTTCAAAAATTATTAAAAAAAATTGTTTTAAAAAAGAATTTTAGTTTAAAATTCTAGAAATGAAGAATTGAATTGAAATGAAAATAATTTTGAAGAAATTACTGTAACAATATTTTTATAATATAAAATAATGATAGTATCAGGTTTTAATTATTATAAAATATGAAGAAAGCGATCGATATCTTCTTGTTTTATAATAATATTCTTATATGTAATTGAATTTAAAATTTTTGAAAATTTTAATTTTTGTAAAAAAATAATAATGATTAAATATTTATTTAATTTTAAAAACGAAGTTATTGATGTTTTTGAGAAATTTTACAATTAAAGAAATTCGTAAATAAATGTAATAGAACAGGAAAAAAGTCATTTTGTCTGGAAATCAGGGAGTTTGGTAAAATTAAGAATAAAATTAAAAATTAAATTAAAATTAAAATTTTGTAAAATATAAATGTAGTTTTAAAAACCTGCAAAATTTACGTTTTTTAAGCTGGAAAACCTGGAAAAGTCAGGGAATTTGAAATGAGGAAAAGCGTGGCAACCCTGAGTTAATAATTTATTTATTAATTAAGCAATAAATTTTGTTTGTTAATAATTAGTTATTAATTATTTATTAAGTAAACTCGCAATTATTAATAAACTATTATTATCAATTACGATTCTTAATTAGAATGTAAGAAAAAAAAATGGTTTGTAAAAAAAGTTCATTTAGATTTTTCTTTTCTAGGAATTTATAATAATCTTTACGGAAAGAAGGAGAGAGAGAGAGAGAGAGAGAAAAAAACGTGAATTATAATGTTAATACGAACCTCGGCCTCCAATGTTCCGTAGAGGGAAAAAATATCATCGCCATTGGAAATTTTCATTCCTGAATGTTTGCTTAATTCTTGAAAGAGTTGGGAATTTTTCGATTCAATTTCTTTGATTTCTTTGGAATTTGAAATGATACTGTGAAGACGAGGATAATCCGGACAACTTGACCAGATTAAGAGGAGCTGAAAAATTTGAAAACTTTATTTATTTTGACAAAATTGTCAGAATTTTTTTTTGCTAATTTTTATGCATCATCATCATCGACATCATCATCATCATAAAAAAAAACAAAAACGTTCAGAAAGCAAAGTTTAAAAATATTTTGACGACTTTCGAAGAATAAAGAAAAGGAAAAATGAAAATTCTTGAATTTTAATTGTCTGAAGAGTGTAAAGATATGATTTTTGATTATAAATAGGAAACAAGGAGAGAAAGGGAGAAAATTGTTTGCTTCAAAGAAAAGAGGTAAGTTTTTAAAGTTCGAAATATAATTTTATATTTTAAAGAAATTAAGGTTTTTATTTTTAAAAATTATTTTGGAATATAATCGAATGGAAGAATTGTAACTAAAAGTTTGGAAAATAATTGAATTTTGGCAAAAATTTGAAATTGAAAAATGCAATAATTTGCAGTATTTCTATTTCTCAATTAAAATTTTTAAACAAAATTCAGTTTTTTTTTGGAAATGGAAAAAATTTTTATGAATAATATTTTTTGACAAAATTTTATGTTTCTTTTGAAAAAAAAAAATTTCCTTAATTTCTATTTGTTAATTTCGATTTTTAACAAAATTATAATTATTTTTTTTTGAAACAAAAATTAATGAAATTGAAAAAAAATGAAAAAAATAATAGTTAATAAAAAAGAATGAAACTGTATTTGAAGATTGAAAAAAAATCAGAAATATTGTCTAATTTCCCTTTCTTCGAGGTAAAAGGGAGTAGATAAAAAGGAGAATAAGGAGAATAATCTAAAGGAAAATACATATATAGAAAATAGAGAATAAATATTGAGTGCTTTTTCTTTTGCGCTGTGTGATTAGATTATTAATTAATTAATAAATGAATACCGTGTCGTTGTCCGTTTGATAATGCAAGGCCACTGGTTGCCATGGAAAACCAGTTTTGAAAGTTTGCTTTTCGTCTGGTTTCCAAAGACCCGCGGCTTCTAATAATGCTGACATTTTGGCGCGATCCGGCGCTGTACTTTGTAACCAAAATATATCGGGACTGTATTTTGATTGCAAAAATTTCCCATAACGCTCGCGTAGATAAACTCCCTGATTGTACTGATTCAATCGTCCTTTCTGTTGAAAAAATTTCAGAATTTTTTATTTTTTAACAATTTTTTTTTTATTTTTATGTTTATTTTTTCTTCTTTTCTTTTATTTTCTTTCCTCTATTTCTTCTTATTTCTTTTATTTTTAGTTTCTTTTTATTTTCTTTTTTTCAGTTTTTTTTTATTACATTTTCTTCCTTACAAATTTTTCCATTTTTTTTATTTTTAGTTTCACTTTATTTTCTTTTTTTCAATTTCTTTTTCTTTTATATTTTTTTCCTTACAAATTTTTCAATTTTTTAAATTTTTAGTTTTTATTTTATTTTTTCAATTTTTTTTAATTTTTAGTTTCTTCATTTTTTCTTTTCAAGAATGAAATAATCTAAACAAAAATAATGAAAATTAAAAAATAAGAAGAATAAAAAAATTAAATTTAATTATTTATTTAATAAATAATAAATAATTTAATTAATTATTTATTAACACTTACGTTAGTTAATTGTCCCCATCCGTAAGGTTCAAAAGAATCGTTAATATAAGGATCGTTGGGATAAGTGTCTTGAGGTGTTCGATCTCCATGTCGAAGAACCTGTGTAGAAAATTATAAATAATTAAAAAAAACATCAATTTTTGAAAGATTTCGGATTCAAAAATTAAAAAAAAATAAAACTCCTTGAAAGAATTCAATTATTTTCATAAATAATAAACTTTTTACCGCAAAAATTCAATTATTTTCACAAAAAATTATTATTCTTCGAAGGAAATTAATTATTCAGAAATTTTTTATAAAATTCTTGCCAAGAATTCAATATTATTTTCCTCAATAATAAATTTCTTCTTCATCGATTTCAATTCTTTTTGGAAATTTATATAAAATCTCTTTAAAAAAATTCCATTACACATTAAAAAATTATGATAAAAATTTTTGATAAAAATTTTTTTTTTACAATTTAATTATTTTCAATATCTAAACTTTTAATTAAATTTCTTGAAAGAATTCAATTATTTTTTTAATTTTCATATAAATTCGTCGCAAGAATTGAAATATTTTCATAAGTTATAACATTCTTCGGAGGAATTCAATTATTTTCAATTATTTCAATGAATTCAATTAATTTTCGTACCATTTTATTCAAATTTCTTGGAAAAATTTTATTTTCTTGCAAGCAATTAAATTATTTTTAAAAGTTTTAATAAAAAATTAAAGTTATCATTTTTTTTTAATAAAAGAGTCATTTTTTGAAATTAAAAGCAAAAATCTATTTGTTAACGCAAAATTATGCGGAAAATAGTATAATTTCTAAAATATTATTATTATTATTATTATTATTATTATTATTAGTTATAATTTTTTAATTATAATTTAATATAAGTTTTAATTTAAGTTTTTTATTGTATTTTTTTATTTACTTTCTTCTTAGTTTTTTTTTAATAACAAGTCGTGTAATTTTTTTTATGCAAAATATAACAAAAAAATGTTATCGTAAATTTTTGAATGAAAAAGAAAATTATAAAAATAAAAATTTTTGGGTGAAAGAGAAGAAGAAACTTACGAGTGTGACAAGACGTAGGGAGTCCGTATTTGTATCTAAAGAGTTATCGTCTTTCTCTTTTGAAATGTCACGTACAATTCTCGCCCCTGTCGCTGCTGATAAATTTGATAACAATGATAATTATTCAATACACACACATTGTATAATTAAAAAACAATTATGAAAGTTATGAGAATTATTATTATGATTATTTTATTATTATTATTATTATTATTATTATTATTATTATTATTATTATTATTATTTCTATTATTTTTATTTTTATTTTTATTTTTATTTTTATTTTTATTTTTATTTTTATTTTTATTGCAATTTTTCTTTTTTTCGTTTTCTTATTTTTTCTTTTCTTTTTCTTTCTTTTTTTTACAAAAAGGAAAAATATTGAAATCAATTTAATTATTTATTATAAAGCTGATAAAAAATTTAGTAATTTTTAAATTTATTTACTTGACACATTTTTTTTTGAAATTTGGTTGTAAAATTGTTTATACATGTGTAAATAAATAAATAGAATTATTTACTAAGGAATTAACTAATTTTTTTTTTAGAATTTTATAATTAATTTTTTGTTTATTATTAAAATTTTTAATATTTTTTTTTTTGGTTTCATGCGAGAAGGAAAAGTCTATTTTTATTCTGTAAATGCCTCTATTTACACTTGTGATTCAATTTTCCTTCTTGTTCCAAAACAATACAATATAGAGTTGGGTTACTTTTTCAGTGACCAAATTTTTTTTTACTGTTTTTTTCTGAGTGTCTAATTTTTTGTCCATTTTCCTTGGAATTACTTTCACTAATTATATCGTTTTTTGGTTGTTATAAATTCTCTCTGGCCCTGAATTAGTGTTTTTCATCTGAATATTTATAATAAAAGTTATAGAATTAATGTAATAATTACAAAATAATAATAATTATTATTAATTTTTGAAATTATTATTTTTATTATTATTATTATTATTATTATTATTATTATTATTAATAACTTTTTATTATTAAGTTAATTATAATTATAATAATAAATATTATAATTGATAATAATTTAATAATTTTATTAAACTAATTATTATATTTATTCTAATATTATAATTGTTATATGAATAATTTATAAATTAAAAATAAACGGAAAGATTGCAGAAAAAGACGAAAATATCGCAAAAAGATGAGAAATTTATTGTCTGCTGTAAAAGAATAATTGAAATTCTCGCAATTTGTTGACAAATGGATTGCACAAAAAATTTATAACAATTTCCTTATCAGCTTTTTCATGAAAAACAGCTGAGAATTAAAATTTTCAAATAATCATCGAAAATGTAAAACTATTTTAAATTTAAAAAAATTAAAATTTCAATTAAAACCCTTCATTCTTATATTTAATCGAATAAAAGAAAAATTAAACTATTTCTATCGTTGTCCTAAAAAATGTTTTTCCTATTTTCTCGTATTTTTCAAACTTGACAAAAATTGATTTCTTTTCTTTCGAAAAATAATAATAATAATTTTCTTTGCTTTCAAAAAATTCTATATTTATTTTCCAAAAACGAAAAAATTTTTTCTTTTCAAAAAATTGTATTCCTTTTGTAAAAAAAAAATTTCTTTCTTTTCAAAACAAAAAAAAAAACAGTATTTCTTTGAAAACAAAATTTTTCTCTATTTTGGAAAAAGAAAAAATATCGAAATCAATTTCTGTTTTCATAAAAAAAATGTTTTTTTTACTTTGCAAATGAAAGAAAAATGTTTATTTTGCAAATGAAAAAAAAAACTGTTTTTCAGTTGTGAATTTTTTTTTTTTTGAAAATTAATTACCTAGAATTGTGGCGCTAATGATGAGAATGACAATAAAAACATATTTTTTTAAACTTGTCATTCTTGTGAATTTTTGAAATGAAAAAAAAATTTTTATTTATTTTTTTTTTTTGAAAAAAAGGAAAAAAAAATGTGAGAATTTAAGTAAATTAATTAAGGTGTTTGCATTTCACGAGTTTTATATATTTAAATTGATATACAATGAGCCACGAGGTTTTGACGAATACTGAGGGAATAAATTCAAGTGTAACGTGTGATAAAATGATTCCCCCACCAAGTGACCAATCGAATCACGTGTGTGTATAAGTGCAAAATAATTTTTCTATTCATTCATATTATTCACTTTGCGGTTCAATTAGTCGATATTTTTTTTTTTTCTATTCCGTTTCATCTATTTTTTTTCTGCAACTTTTCCGCGGTGTAGACAATAATAATAATCATAATAATAATCATAATAATAATTATAATGATAATTATAATAAATAAAAATAATAATAGTAAATGTTTTTTACTTCTTTTGTATTTTTTTTACTATTATTACTTTCTTTTATCTTTAAACAAATTATTGTATTAAAATAACTGTTTTTTCTTTTTTTTTCTTCTTTTTTAATATATTTATTGAAGCATTTTTTTTAATTTTATTTTTTCTTACTTTTTTTATTAATGTTGAATTATTTTTGCTATTATGCAAATATAATTTTATTTTTATGTGTTAATATTAAAAAATAACTCTTTTTCCAATTTTGCCTTTTTTTTACTTTTTTTATATTTTTATTATTCTTTCTTGAATTTTCTTTCTTCTCGATTTTTCATTATTAAATTTTTTTTATTTTTATTGAAATATTTAAATTATTATTGTTTAATATTAAAATAACTGTGTTTTCTTATTTTGTTCTTTGTTATTAAAGTTTTTTTTTACAATTTTAATTTAAATATTAGGTTTTTTTTTTTTTATTATTGGATTTTTTAATATTTTTTGCTGAAATATTTAATTTTTTTTAATTTCCTCCTTTATTAATGATTTTTTCAAAAAAATAATAAAATAATGAATAAATAAATAAAAATTTTAATTTTTGATTATTTATTTATTTATTTATTTATATATATAGATAAATCAAACATAAAATAAAAAAGTTTCTTCTCTATTTTTTTTATTTCTGTATTTCTTATTGAAATATTTGTTTTATTTATTCAATGTGGAAATATTAATTTTTTTATTTATACAAAAATGTTTTTTTCTTTGTAATTTGTTTTCGTATATTTTATTGACATATTTCTTTTCTTATTTTTTAGAAACTTTCTTGGTTTTTTTTTACTTATTTTTATATTTATTGGATTTGTTTCTATTTTCTGTTTTTAATATTTTAGTTTCTTAATTTTTTTTCAATCTATACATTTTTTTAGTTTATTTAATTATTGTTTTGTTTTTTCATTTTTACTCAATTTTTCCTCCTGCAATTATTTTGTTATTGTTCAATTTTTAAAATAAATTCTCTTTTACTTTTAATTGGCAAATTAAAATTCCTCTTTTTTTGTCATTGTTTATTTTGCTATTTATTATTTTGTTTTCTTTTATTTTGTTATTTTTATTTTTCTATTTTGTTTTATTTTAATTTTTCTATTTAGTTCTAAATTGATTTTTATTTTCTTTTTTTACTTGATTTTCATTGTTTAGGATTTCATTTTTTATTTTTTTTTATTTTGTTCCTATTTTTATTTTACTTATTTTTCAAAAAGTATCAAAAATTGTTCCTTTTTTGTGTTTTCTATTTTGTTTTTATTTTATTTTTATTTATTTATTGTTCTCTTCTTGCCAATTATTCTTTTTTATTTCACATTTCAGTTCGTACATACAACACAATTTTTTTTCAAAATGATTCACTTGATAATTTTGCAAATAATATTAAAACAAAAAAAAAAGAGGTTTACAAATTATTTCCAGTTTAAAATTGCGAGAAAATTAATTTTTACAAAATAGAAAAAGAAAAATTTGCTTTTAATGAGCGGAAAATATTTTGAGATAAAGAGAAAAACTTTGAATTCAAAATTAATCAAAGTCGTGAATTAAAAATTCTAAACAGATCTAAATGGAGATATAAATGTTTCTTTTTGTTTTTATTCCTTTTTTTCTATTTAATCATCCTCCTATATAATTATGTAATTTAATTGAAGACTGTGAAATTATTATCAAACGGAAAATTCTTGAATACTAAAATAATTATATATTGACTACAAAACTTGATCAACTGTTATTATAATCATAAATAAATTATGTAAAAAAAAAAATGATAAATTTTCTAATTTGAAAATCATTTTTTTAAAAAAAGGAGAAAAAAACTAAAGTGTCATCGTTTATTGTTAATTTTTAATTTGTACTAAAATTTATATTTTTAATTTTCTTGTTTATTTATATATTCATCTTTAATTATAATTTTAGTTATTTTTAGTTAATATTTATTATTATTTATTTCTTTATTCATTTTATATTTATTTTATTATTCATTTATTTATTTGTGAAGAATTTAACGATTGTTTTTCAGTTTTTTATGTTAAAAATAATTTCTTATTTGTTGTTAATTTTATTAACATTTTGTTATTAATTAATTAAGTTGACTATTAATAATTATTCATTCTACAAATAAATAATTAATAAAAATGAATTAAAATTCTAATTTATTATTATTTACTATTAAAAATAAAAAATACTTATTTTTTGTTATTTATTGCTAAAAAATTTTAATAATTATTTTTTATTCATTCTTAAAATTATTCTATTTGAATAATAGGTTATAATAAATAATTGGCTGAATAATGAATAAATAATAAATAATTTATAAATAATCAATGAATAATTAATTAATAATAAATAATTAATAACGAATAATTTATTTAATTAGTAAATAAATTACTAAAAAATAAATAATTAATAATATATAAAGAATAAATAAATTGGTAGTAAATAATAAATAAATAATAAATCAAAAAATAAATAATAATCATTAATAACAAATAATTAATTAATTATCAATTAATAATTATTAGCTTAAAAATGAATAGAACATTTTTTGAAACAAAAGAAATGAATAGTATAATTTTCAAAAAACAATGAACTGTCGTCAAGGCAACGGAGGGAATCGTTGTTTTTTTGTTTTTTCCGCAGTTTTTTTTAACTCAAAAAGAAGAAAAGAAGAGAAAAAATTTTTTTTTGATCTCCTAGGATAAAAAAGTAAATAAATAGTTAATTAAGTGAAGTGAATTTAATGATTTGAGATTTATTTTCAGTTTAATTAGTTTCTTCCTCTTTTCCCTCCTTTTTTTTGTTTTCCATTTTTTTTCGTGTGTGAAACGAAATAACGTGAAAAAAAAACAACAAAACTGGCCAGCAAAAGTGAAATCGTTTGTCAGGAAGGTGGCGATACAAGGGAATTGAGAGATTTTTTCACTAATCCGGGAGGAAAAAATTCATCAATCGTGGATTTTCATAGCGAAGGAGGAACGCGAAACGCGGCCTCACGCAATCGTAAAACGCGTCGCAAGAAGTCGAGAAATTCCGCCGGCGACGTCAAGGTAATTTTTTTTGCTTTTATTACTTTTTTTTCTAAAATTTGCAAATATTTTATGATTCTTCAATTTTTTCTTTTTGAAAATATTTTTCAAACATTTTTTGTTCATTCTTTTCAATTTTTATAATTTTAAATTTTAATTATAATTTTTAGGTTGGAAAAAATTTTTTTTTTCTTGTAAAACATTTTTTTTTAAAGTCTTAATTAAAATTAATTAATTAAAATATTAAAATAAAAGAAATAAATTAACGAAATTTATTAAAATTACGAAATAAATGGATAAATATTCAAAAAATCAGGAAATTCCATTGAAATAATTTTCGAAAAAATTAAATAGGAATAAAATGGAAATTTTAAATATGAAAATAGAAGGAAATAAATAAAAAATAAAAATGAATAGAAAATTATGTTTAGAAAAATTGTAATTAAGAAAAAATAAAGAACAGGAAAAAAATAAAATTAGAAAATAGAAAAAAAATTAGTAAAATTAAAAATGAAACAGAAATTTTTGAAAAAATTATAATTAGAAAAGAATGAAGAATAGAAAAAAAATGTAATGAGGAAAAACAAAAAATAGTAAAAAAAAAAAGAAAATAGAAAAGAACAAAAATTTTAAAGAAAAATTATAATTAAAAAAAAAATAACGAACAGAAAAAAATTTAATTGAGAAAAATAGAAAATAGAAAAAAGTAAAAAAAATAGTAAAATTAAAAATGGAACAAAAATTTTTAAGAAAAATTATAATTGGAATAGAATAAAGAATGGAAAACATTAAAAAGTAGAAAAAACAGAAAATATTAAAACATAGAGAATAGAAGAAAATAAAAACATATAATAAAATAAATATTAGAAAAGTGTAGAATAAAAAAAAATATTTCTATTAATTCTAATTAGAGAAAAAAATAAAGAATAGAAAAATAACAAAATAGGACGAAAAATTGAAAATAAAAGGAAATAGAAAATAGTTAGAAATAGAAAATAGAAAAAAAGTAGTAAAATGAAAAATGGAACAAAAATTTTTAAGGTAAATTGCAATTAGAAAAGAATAAAGAATAGAAAAAAATTTAAATTATTGAGAAAAAATAGAAAATAGTAAAAAAAAAATTAAAAATAGAAAAAAATAAAAATTAGTAAAATTAAAAATGGAACAAAAATTTTTAAGAAAAATTATAATTAGAAAAGAATAAAGAATAGAAAACAATAAAAAGTAGAAAAAATAGAAAATAATAGAAAACAGAAAATAGAAAAAAATAAAAATTAGTTAAATTAAAGAATGGAACTATAATTTTGAAGAAAAACTATAAGAACTATTCTGATTAAAAAAGAGTAAAGAATAGAAAACAAATGTTCAAAAAGTAGAAAATAGTAAAAAATAGAAAGTAGAAGAAAATAGAAAATGGAATAAAATAAAAATTAGAAAAGTGCAGAATAGAAAAAAAAATATTCCTATTAATTCTAATCAGAGAAAGAAATAAAGAAAAAATAAGAAAATAAGACGAAAAATTGAAAACAATAAAAGATAAAAAATAGAAAAAAATAAAAATTCGAAAAACAGGAAAATAGAAAAAAGGAAAATAAAATAAGAATTTGAAAAAATAGAAAATAGAGAAAAAATATTTAGAAGAATTTATAATTAAAAGAATTTTTATAGCAAAAAAAAAAAAAAATGATTAATTTCTTTTTATTCGCCAGGTGAAAACAATGACGAGTTCCACGGAAATTCTCAAGAACGTGCAAAAAATTGGACAATATCCACCGATTCCAATGCCGAGTTCAGCGCCTGCAATTACGAATCAAAATCATCAATCCGCGCCACCATTGCGTCCCAGATCACTTTATACCGCTCACAGTTATCATGACGAGTCTCATTTTCAGGTAATTTTCTTTTTTCATTTTTTAATTAATACTTAATATTTATTTTTCATTTAATTCTTTTGTTTTTGTTTATTTATGTAATTTTTATTATATTCTACGTAATAATGCTAATAATAATAATATAGGGAAAACATTGGAGTAATTGAGTTATAATCGCAGTTTGCTTCTTTGTCTCTTTCTAACGTTTTACTTTTGAATGTAAAATATTGTATATAATTTTAAAAGTGGTTCAAGGTATCGTTAGAGAGATAAAGGAGCGAAACAATATTCTAAACACGTTTTTAAATTATTTCCGACTCTATAATTTTTTTTTGTCATTGTGTCCTCTTTTTTTTTGGGGTGACAATCGCCTTTTTTTTTTGGCCTGAAAAAAGATTTACTTTTTGTATCTTTTTTTTTTTATTTATTTTCACTTATTTTCACTTATTTTTATTTATTTCAATTTATTAATTTATTTTAAATGGATTTTTATGTTTCAATTTTTATTATTCAGATTTAAAAATTAAAGAAAAATTCAATTATTAATTAATTTATTAATTCATTATGATTGTTAATTATTTTCAAAAAAAAATTTGAATAAATTTCATGGCAAGAATTCAATTAATTTTTTAGAAAATAATAAATTTCTTGGCAGGAATTCAATTATTTTTTTGGAAAATAATAAAATGCTGCGGGAAAAGTTCAATTATTTTTTATAAATAGCAAAATTCATGGCAGGAATTTAATTATTTTCAATACAATTTTAATAAAATTTCTGGAAAAATTTCATTTTTTTTTTAAATTGTAATAACATTTTTATAATAATTATTAAGAGACTCGATTATTATTAACAAAAAATTAAAAGAAATTGTTTTTGATTTTACTTTTTCCAGAGATACAGCGAATTTTCGAAATATTACGAGACCCCACCCTCGGATCAGTGGGGAGGGGGTGGTGGCGGTGGTGGGGTTGGAACAACAGGAAACAATGTTTATTCCTCAACGGCGCTAAATTGGCGACAGCCAAGAAACTCAAAATCAATTCCGTCAACGTATTATGCCGCAGATGAATCGCCGGCGGCTTGCATTTACACGGAAAATTGGCGGGATCATGATAATGAGCCGATTGCGGGGGGCGCAATTGCCACTCCCCACGGGACAATTTCCCTTCGATTGCACAATCGAATTCGCGTCGATATGACAATTGATCGCGCCGTTCGTGTCATTAATTTCAAGGTATTTCGCCTTCTTCTTCTTCTTCTTCTTCGTTACATTAAAGAACAAAATTTTCCACTTAAAGTTAAAGTTATTCATTTTAATTTAGTTAGATTTATTAATTGTTAATTAAAATAATAAACAGTTAATAATTAACAATAGAGTTGATTGCGAATGGAAAAAAAAAGTTAAGAACGTTCTGCGCATGTCTAGAGATCTTTTGCGCAAGCGTAGAAGGCAAAGCTGCGCAGTAGATCGCGTCTTAATAACGAACTTTTTTAAAAGTAAAAAATGAATAGTAGCCGAATTTTCAAAAATTTTCGATTAATTAAAGTTTAAGAAAATTATATTAAAAATAACGAATTTTTATTAAGTAAAACATGAATAATAGCCGATTTTTCAAATACAGGGTTGCCACGCAACCTGAAAACCTGGAAATGTTAGGGAATTTGATAAACCTTGAAAAAACTTGGAAAAGTCAGGGAATTTTGATCGAAATCCTGGAAAATTGTTATTTTCTAAAGTTTATTCTTGAAATCTAATTTTACATAAATATTTAAAAAATTAATTAAATCTAATTTTAAAAAAGTAGCGTTTACAATTTTCATAAGTACAGATGAATTTCAAAAGATTTTAATTTGAAATGTTGTAAAATTTCAATTTTCAATGAATTTAACTAGAAATCGTCTTATAGAACGTAAATTTTTGAGAAATTTTAATTATTGCAATTCTTCTGAAATTAGTTAAATTTTTTAATATATATTTTTAATTGATTATTAAAAATAATGGAATTATAAAAGAATTTTAATTAAAAACACTAAAAGAAATTGAATTTTGAAGCAATTACAAATTATTGCAGAAATTCAATTATTTTCAAAAGTAGTAAAATTCTTCTTAGAAATTCAATTATTTCCAACCATTTTTAATAAAATTCATGGCAAAACTCCAATTATTTTCAAAAACTTTCCTCAATTCAATGATTTTTAATAAATCTACAACTTTAATAAAATTTTTCAAAAGAATTCAATTATTTAAAAAAAAATTTTTAATTCTACGCAAACATTTCATTTTTTTCATAAATAATGAAACTCATCTCAGACTTTTAATTATTTTTAATAGAATTTTAATGAAATTCCTCGAAAAATGAAATTACTCTTAAAAATTTTATTAAAATTCATCAAAGAAATTCAATTATTTAAAAAGACATTTTAATAAAATTCGTCTCAATAAGAATTCAATTATTTTTAAAAGTAATATAATTCTTCGCAGAAATTTAATTGTGTTCAACAATTTACAAAAATTCTCGTCAAAATTTCAATAATCTTTATAAATTTTTCTTCGAAATTCAAATATTTTTAAAAACTTTAATAAAATTCTTGGCAAAATTTCAATTATTTTCAAAAACTCTTATAAAAAAAAGTTTCAAAAAATTCAATTATTTTTAATAAAATTAGAATCAAATTTTCGAAAAATAAACTTATTCTTAAAAATTTTAATAAAATTTGTCAAGAGAATTCAATTATTTAAAAATTTGTTGATAAAAGTCTTTAAAAAAATTCAATTTTAAGAAACATTCAATTATTTTCATAAATAATAAAATTCGTCTCAGGATTATTTGCAAAAATTTTGTTTAAAATCTTGGCAAATTTCAGTTATTTTAAAAAATTTTAATAAAATTCTAAAAATTTCAATTATCTTTATAAATAATAAAATTCTTCTTTGAAATTCAATTATTTTTAAAAGTTTTAATAAAATACCTGGCAAAATTTCATTTATTTTAAAAAATTTTAATAAAATTCATGTCAAAATTTCATTTCTCAAAAATTTCAATAGAATTCTTAGTACAATTTCAATTATTTTTAAAAATTATAATAAAATTCTTGTCAAAATTTCAATTACCTATTAAAGTTATAAACTTCTTCACAATTCAATTATTTTCCAACATTTTATTTAAATTCTTTGAAAAATTTCAATTATTCTAAAAAATTTTAATAACTTTAATAAAATTCTTGGCAAAATTACAATTATTTTCAAAAACTTTTATAAAAAAAAGTTTCAAAAACTCTTTTCTCTTTTTTTTTTTCTTTTCGAAATTCAATTATTTTTAATAAAATTTGAATCAAATTTACGAAAAATAAACTTATTCTCAAAAATTTTAATAAAATTTGTAAAGAGAATTCAATTATTTAAAAATTTATTGATAAAAGTCTTTATAAAAATTCAATTTTAAGAAACAGTCAATTATTTAATAAAATATTTATTTTTGTATTTAAATAATTGAATTCTCGTGGATTTTTCTAGTAAATATTGATTTAAAAATGAATTTCAGTTAAAATTTTAGATTATAATTGAATTTTAAAAGCATTAGAGCGTAAATTTTTAGAAATAATTGAATTTCGAAAATGTTTTAAATTAAAATCTTTTAGAAAATTTGAAGTTTTCATACTTTTAATTAACAATTCTGTAGAATTTATTTTTTAAAAAAGTTTAATTGAATTTTTCTTTAATTTTTAAAGTTTTTATTTTCTAATATATATTTTATTGAAGAATTTTAGAATAATCAAAATTACGTAAAAATTAATATTGAAAATAATTGAATATATTTACGAAGAATTTTATCATTTTTGAAAATAATTGAAAATTCTTGCGGAGAATTTTGTGAATTTTAAAAATAATTGAATTATTTCGAAGAATTTTATTTAAATTTTTTTGAGAATAATTGAATTCCTGTGAATAATTTTATTGTCTATAAAAATAATTAAATTCTTGACAAGATTTTTAAGGAAATTTAGAATTAATTTTTCTCAAAAAGTTTAATTGAATTTTTTTTGAATTATTTAAAGTTTTTAATTTCTAATTTATTTAATTAAAGAATCTCCAGAATAATCGAAAGTTTAGGTAAAATTGAATTGTAAACAATTGGATTTAAAAATTCTCAAAGAACTTTTTCAAAAATTATTTTAAAAAAATTGTTTTAAAAAAGAATTTTAGTTTAAAATTCTAAAAATGAAGAATTGAATTGAAATGAAAATAATTTTGAAGAAATTACAGTAACAATATTTTTATAATATAAAATAATGATAGTATCAAGTTTTAATTATTATAAAGCATAAAGAAAGCGATCGATATCTTCTTGTTTTATAATAATATTCTTATATGTAATTGAATTTAAAATTTTTGAAAATTTTAATTTCCGTAAAAAAATAATAATGATTAAATATTCATTTAAAAACGAAGTTATTGATGTTTTTGAGTAATTTTACAATTAAAGAAATTCGTGCATAAATGTAATTGAACAGGAAAAAGTCCTTTTGTCTGGAAATCAGGGAGTTTGGTAAAATTAAGAATAAAATTAAAAATTAAATTAAAAATTAAATTTTGTAAAATATAAATGTAGTTTTAAAAACCTGGAAAAATTACGTTTTTTAACCTGGAAAATCTGGAAAAGTCAGGAAATTTTAAATGAGGAAAAGCGTGGCAACCCTGAAATATTTTGATCAATTAAAGTTTTAGATCCAAATGGACTGCGGGATATTATTATAAATAAAAATTAAATGAATTATTAGCTTTAAAAAATCGGATTTTCTTTTCGAAAATACAGAATAATATTGTCTTGGCATTGAGTGGAACCGGTGCAGCGGCGGCTCTTTTACATCCAAACGGAAGAATTTATCAATATGGATCGCGCGTTGAAATTTTAGCTCACGACACTCATGGAAATAACAAGTCAGAAAAATAAAAAAAAACAAATATAAAATTAAAAAATTTTTTTATTTTTCATATTTTAAATAATGAAAAATTCATTTCCTTTTTTTCAGATACGCGAAAATGTGGTACAAGGGCGTAAGTTTTACGTCCGAACAATGTGCCCTCGTTTATCTCGTCGATACCGCAGGGACAAGAACCACGACCGATTCCTTCTCCGATATGAGTCAGGTAAGAAGAAAATTAATTTAATGTAATTTTAAACTATTTATTTTTCATAAATATTTTATTTTTTATTAATTTGATTCAATATTTAATTAAATTAAAATAAATAAGAATTGAATCAAAATAGTGAAAAATTAATTAATTTTTCAATATTTTGATTCAATTTTTATTTATTTTTTTTAATTTACTTTTTATAACTAAATGGTAAATATTGAAAAAAATAGTTTTGAATTAAATACTTTTTTTTTTAAGGACATTTCGTTGAGTGTTTTTTACTCGGAATCGCGACACGGTCCAGCGTGTGTGCAAGAAGCAGCAGCGGCACTATCGTCGGCACAATATTGGCTCACTGACGAGGGTGTCGAAAATTGGATCATCAACAATGTACGAATCTCACAAACACCGGATGGCCTCGTGAGGTATTTACGAAAAAAATATTTTTTCCCTTCGTTAATTTCCTTTCTAAATTTAAAGTGGTGAGTTTTTCTATTTTTATATAATTTTTAGGTATTCTATTTATTTTATTTTAATTCAGACTTCGCACTCAAAAATCAATTTTAAAAAAGGAGCTTTCAAAATGAAAAAAGTAGTAAAAAAGTAGCTATCGAAATATTAAACTTGACGACCAAAAAAAACTCGTTTTAGACACTTCACAAAACTGACAAAAATTCAATTCCATATTTTTTGTTTTCCTGACTTTTTCCTAATTTTCATCAAAAATATTTACTTCTTTCTTATTCTACTTCTAATAAATTGAATTTTTGCAAAAAATTTCATTAAATTTTTTTAAAAAAATTGAATTTCTGTGAAAAATTTGGCTATTTTTGAAAAAAATTGAATTCTTCATAAACATTGTTTTAAATAATTTATTTTTTCGAAATGTAATAAATATTATGAAAATTTTATTTTAAATAATTGAATTCTTGTGGAAAACTTTATTTGTGAAAATAATTGAATTTCTCGAATTCATTAATTTAAAATTGTATTAAAAATAATTGAAATTCTTCGATGAGTTTTATTATTTATGAAAATAATTGAATTTTGGATGAAGTTTATCAATTTTTTTTTTAAATAATTGAATCGTTTTGCAAAATTTTATGAAAATAGTAAATATTGAAAATAATTGAATTTCGAATATTTTTTGAAAATAATTGAATCGTTTTAAAGAATTTTATTATAATTTTTGAGAATAGTTTTTTTATTTCTAGTATTAGAGAATTTAAAGTAAATTCTAAAAAAAAACAGAAATAGAAATAAATAGTGGCTGAAATCTAAGAGAAGTATTCAAATAGTAGCATAACGTGAAAAAAGTAGTAAATAAGTATATAAAACCAAAATATTTTTAATAAATATTTATTTATATTTACGTAGAAAAATTACAGAAAAATCTTTGATTTTCTATAAAAATGTTCTTTTATGATAAATAAAAAAATTAAGTTCTAATTAAATCAATTACTTTTATTTGACTAATAGTTAATTTGTTGATAAATTTTAATATGAATTTAATTTAATTCAAATTTAATTTAAGTAGCTGAATTAAAATAATGATTAATTAAATCAAGTGGAATTAAAATAGTAATAAATTAAAATTGTCCATAAATAAACATCTTTTGAGAACATAAAAATTCCATCAATCAAATGATAAATTAAATTAGTTATCATTAGAATAAGAAATAAATAAATAAAAGAAGAAAATTGAAAGAAATGTAATTTTTTCAGAATTGCGAGGAACAGCAATAAATATCAATTGCGAACATCGCCGAGCAATGGAACCGCATCGTTGACGACTCCATTTTTACATTGTACAGCTTCACTTGGACAAACGTCGCATCTTTTTGTACGTCGAGGTGAACGACGAATGCATTACGATGGTACGAGTTTTATCGTTAGAAATGCAGGTCACAGCGCTGGATTTGATGACAATAATCAATTGAAAGTATATTAAAATAATCCATCAAAAAAAAAAAGAACAAAAAAAAAGTTCGAAGGAGAACAAAAAAAGTCTCGTCTTCCAAAAGTTATGCATTCGTTTTTGTGAATTCTTTCGAATTATGCCTGCAAATGGAATATTATTATATTAATATTTTAAGAAAAAAGAATTCAGAAGATTAGGAATATTAATGTGACGGGAAGCAGTTTTTTTTCTCTTTATTCAAACTAAGAATATTGTGCAACAATTTTTTTTTCCATTTTCGCGAAAAGAACTGGATTTTTTTTTTTATTATCGCGAAAAGAATTCAATTTTTTTTGCAATTGTCGCGAAAAAAACTCAATTTTTTTACTATTGTCGCGAAAAGAACTCAATTTTTCAGTTATTCTTATTTATAGAAAAAATGGGAGAAATTTGTTTCTTTCTCTTCTTTTTTTGTCCAAAAAGTAATTTTTTCTAATCGAGAAAAAAATAAATAGAGAATTTATTATATTGAAAATTCAAATTAAGAGACATTTGATTTTACTTTTGATTTTCTAATTTGAAGTATTTTTAAATTTAAAGTTAAAATTTGTGATAAATATTCGCAAATATCAAAATTTATATTTTATTTTTTCAAAATTTTTCAAGTATTTCAAGTTTTACAAAATTTTGTTAATTCTAAAAAATATTTTTAAGAACCGTTGCACATTTTCTTTATGTTGAAATATAGAAAACTTATTTTTACAATTGAGTTTAAAAAAAAGAACTCAATTGTCAATTTTTTTTAAGTAAAAAAAAGCTTTTTTCGACTGTAAAAAAACTTTTTTGGACAGTAAAAAAGCTTTTGAACAGTAAAAAAAGCTTTTTTGAAAGTGAAAAAGCTTGTTCTTGACAGTAAAGAACCTTTTTTTTTGACAGTAAAATAAAATATTTTCTCAAAAAAAAAAAATACGTACATGAAAAATTTTTTTTTTCGTCTTTTATTCTCTTTTTTTCAATTTTCAATCCGATGATTCCTCGCCATGCTCAAATTTCACATTCGCCGCGGGAAGTGTGACCTCAACAAATTTCACACTCCTTGTTTTCGAATCAATTTCCATGTCGTCGTCAAAAGTTTCCGCAAGATTTGGATCATAATTTTCGAGTGGTTCAAATACTTCTTCATCATCCTCATCATAATAATCATCGTCGTCGTCATGATGACGATGATGATGATTGATATCATCCTCATCGGATGTATCCATATCGAAACCATCGCCAATTCTTGAACGGACTTTTCCATCTTTTTGTTTATCGACATCGCGTCGACGACGTTGTTCGATTCGTAAATTATTTGCTTCACTTGAATTTTCAATTGCACGCTCATTATAATTATTTGACTCCAATTTTCGAATGTCGAGTAGAATATCATCAATGAAATTCTCATCGAATAATTTGAGATTTGAACTGGCGCCAATAATTGATGATGTTGCTTGTCGATATTCTTTGGAGAGATTCTCCAATTCCATTAAACAACTTCCCTGCTCGGTTAATTCGAGGAGAGATGGCATTATACTTAATTTACTCGCTGGCGTTTGTTTCTCGCGATAGAATTTTTCTAGGCCCCACTGTGGAAAAGAAGAAAAATTATTTTTAAATTAAAAATGAAAAGTTAGGAACATTTTTAATTATTACAAGGCTCGAAGCAGTGAAAGTAAAATAAGAGAACATTTTACTTAAAACTAGAAATTCTATTTTTTATAATAATTAAAGATCGAGTGATAAAATCATTTACAATTCAATTATTATTTACAAGAATTTTTAACTAAAATTCTACGATTATTTTTTTAAATTTTCGAAAAAGTTCTTTGACAATTTTCAAATACATTTCTTTACAATATTCAATTTTACAAAATTTTAATTATTCGTCAATTTTTCAATTAAATAAATTCTAGAAAATAAAAACTTAAAATAATATTTAAAAAATACAATTAAACTTTTTCAAAAGAATTAATTTCAAAATTCAATTATTTTTAAAAATTCACGCTTTATTGCTTTTAATATTCAATTATTATCTAAAATTTTAACTGAAATTCATTTTTATGAAATAAAAATCAATTTTTATTGGAAAATTCTACGAGAATTCAATTATTTAAATACAAATAAAATGTAAATAAATAATTTATTCAATAATTTCTTTAAAGGAATTTAATTAAAATCTTACTGAAATTTATTATATTAAAAAATTTTATAACAATTTTTCTAAAATAATTGAAAAGTCTTTGAAGAATTTTATTAAAATTTTTCAAAATACTTGAATTCCTGAGAAGAATTTAAATAATAATTTAATTCATACGAAGAATTTTATTAAATTTTGTTTAAATAATTTCAAATTTTGACAAGAAGTTTATTACCATTTTTGACGAGAATTTAATTCTTGACAAGAATTTCGCTATCTATTTATAAAAATAATTGAATTCTTGAATAGAATTTTAAAAAAATTTTGAAAATAATTTAATTTCCGCAAAGTATTTTATGAATTTTCAAAAGATTTGAATTCTTCTGATGAATTTTAATACTTATGAAAATAATTGAATTTTGGAAAAGAATTTTATTCAAATTCCTTAAAATAATTGATTTTATGGGGAGAATTTTGTTGTTTATCAAAATAATTGAATTTCTGTGAAAAATTCTAATCTTTTTAAAAATAATTAAATTCTTCCAAAAAAATAAAAAAAAAATATTTTTTTGAATAATTAATTTTTTTAAGAATTAAAATTAAATTTTTAAGTTCAATTACATTTTTTGAGCAATTATTGTAAAATTGTATTAAAAATAATTGAAATCATGCGATAAATTTTATTATTTATGAAAATAATTGAATGTTTTCGTAGAATTGTATCAAATATTTTTTTCAATAATTAAAATTTTTGATAAATTTTATAAAAATAGTAAATTTTAAAAATCATTGAATTACGAAAAACTTGTGAAAATAATTGAAATTTTGCAAAGAATTTTATTTAAATTTTTGAAAATAATTGAATTTTTGCCGAAAAATTTTGCTATTTATAAAGATAATTGAATTCTTAATGAGATATTCAACGAATTTTAATAAAATTTTTAAAAATTACATTTTTAGAGAAATTCGATTAAAATTTTATTAAAAATAATTGAAAAATAACATTTCCCAAACACTTCATTAAACAACGACACCTTCTTCTGGAGACAAAAATAAATTATTAAATATACGATCACTTATATATTTAATAATCATTTTATCACAATTGTTATTAAAATGAAAAAAAAAATTTTTTAATATAAAAAATTCATCTTTTTCTTGTTTTTTTTCTCTCCAATTATTAAAGTAAAATCAATACCTCAATATCGAAAATTGTGTGAGCAAACACTTCGTCGTGGATCATTGTTGAGAGTATAAAATTTGCATCGAGATGCTCTCCGGCCTTTAATTGTTCATGTAATTCCATGAAATTCGACCATTGCTCTTGTGTAACTCGTATTAATGAGGCATTTTTAATTGGCATTTTATAATAGAGTCCATATAATAAATAGAGACCGCCAATTCTCTCTTTAAAATTTCTCGGCGGTAGGGCAAATTCCTTAGCAATGTGCAACACTTCCTCGCAATATTCCAAGAGTTCCGAATATGTTTGTCTTCCGCTTTTGTGAATCGAGAAAAGAAAAAATACGAAACATTATAAATTTGGTAATTATACATTTTTTAAAATTTGTATTTTTAAGAATATTATTATTCGTTTTTTATTAATTATTTTTAATAAAATTCTAAGGAAGAATTCAATTATTTTCATAAATAATGAAACTCATCGAAGAATTTCAATTATATTTAATACTATTTTAAATTAATAAATTCGAAAAATTCAATTATTTTCACAAATAAAGTTATTCAAAATAATTCAATTATTTAAAATAAAATATTCATAATATTTATTATATTTCAAAAAAATTAATTATTTAAAACAATGTTTTTATAAAATTCTTCTACGAAATTCAATTATGTTCAAAATTTTTTTTAAATTCCTTTCAAAATTTCAATAATCTTTATAAATAATAAAATTCTTTTTCTAAATTCAATTATTTTCAAATGTTTTAATCAAAGTCTTGGCACAATTTCAATTATTTTCCAAAATTTTAATAAACTTCATACCACAATTTTAATTTTCAAAAATTTTAATAAAATTCTTGGCACAATTTCAATTATTTTTAAAAATTATAATAAAATTCTTGACAGAATTTCAATTATCTTTGAAAATAATCAAATTCAGAATTTAATTTTCTTCAAAATCAGAATTCAATTATTTAAAAAAAATTTTGTAAAAATCTTCCTAAGTATTTAATTCTTTTCATGATTAATACAAATTTTTTGCTAATTTTTTAAAATTAATTATCGAGTGCGAAATCTCTGTAAAATAAAATTGACAAATATTTTCGATTTTTTTTACTTTTTGAGGTTATGTTACCGGAAAAGAAACAAATTTTCTTTATTATATTTAAATAATATTAATTATTGGAACTTACGCATAAATCATGGCAAACTTCATGTCCTTCCATACTTCGCAAAATTTTTCAAATCGAATACTATTTGTTTCATTAAACATCGATAACAATTTGTTACAATCCTCTTTAAATCCGCTCGCAATATAAAAGCTTTTTGACATTTTTCCCTATTCCTTTTTATTTACAATACAACAATTTTTTTCAAAATTTTGTTTAACGAATTTAATTCTTAATTACAAAAATGATTTTCTATAGTTTTTCCATAATTTTTTAGTTTTTAACAGGTTTTTAAAATAAAATAAACAAATAGCAGACGATTTTTCTCTTGTCATATTGCGGACCAATCGGAATTCGTGAATACGAAAAGGCGCGAAAAGAGAGGGAAATTCAAAATTGAAAATATTATTTCTTAATTCTTTTATTAAAAATTCTTTTCGTAAATATATTTTTGATTAACAAGATTAATTAAACAGGTTAATTTTTTTCTACAATTATTCTCTTACTTTTTCGGAATATAAATATTTTTTATAAATTGAAAATCTTTAACAAAAAATAGGAAAATGATGGTAATTTCAAAGTTTTCTTTACGGAAACTCGGAAAAATGTTTTTCTTTTCCGAAGAAGAAAAGTAGGATACAAGGGGTTGTTAAAGAAAGGAAAAGGGGAGAGAAATCGAAAATTTATAATTACCGCGCTTGCGCAAAGTGATGAGAGTTGAGTTAATGCGCATGCGCTGACATTAGCGCTATCTCACGAGAATTCCCGCAGTCTGATCGTAGTCGTGATCTCGAGAAGGTTGATATTTGCGATTCCCTGCTTTTTTTTTGTAAAAATAAATATATATATAAGAAAAAAAATTAAAAAACCTCCCTCCCTTCACAACCCGGTTATATCCAAGTTGTTAAATTATCCCTCGACTCATCGGAAGGGATCTTGAATTTCCATCTCATATTTGAAATAAAAACGTGAGTAATATGTATTTTTTCCAATAAAAAGAGTTGTTTTACAATGAACGACGACAATTTCTCTATTATATACACACATCGTGTGTTCTCGACCGCGTTTTGCACTGTATTCCAACAGACGGCACGAAATTCTCGTATAGGCAAAATGGCCGTACGAGAAAAAAAAATAAAATCCGTCGCGATCAATGCGAGTTTTTTTTTTCTTTTTGAGAAAGAAAAGAAAAAATTGTGAATTAGTGAAGAGGGAAAATGACAACCGTGGGGGGGTTTTTGTATTAATATGGGAAAATTTGTGTGTTGATTTTTTTGTTCTGAAAAAGATTCCTTTAAAGATCTGTCAACAGTTTCCCCACCAACCCCTCCCCTGACGGAAGTGACGCCCTGAAAAGGATTTTCTCGACTTTGTCTCTCTCTGTCGTCTCGACGGGGTTTGTTCTCTCTCTCTCTCTCTCGTGTACGGAATTGATTTTTTTCGCAAAAACCCCGACATTTCTAAGTTTCACGATTTTTTTTTGTGTGGAAAAAAGAAGGGAAAAGATTGTTGAGGGCGGTAAAGAAACTATAAAAGTTATCTTTATTCTTTACACGTTAAAGGTGTTTTTTTTTCTACTGGGGTTGTTTTTTGCGTGTTTTTTTCTTTTTTTTTCCTCTTTCTCTCTCTGTCTTTTTCTATCTTTCTCACTTTTTCTCCTCTTCTCTCTCTCTCTCTCTCTCTCTCTCTCTCCTCGCGTGGTGAAACTGTCGATGAGTGTTTGACAGATGAATTTAATTGCAAACCGGAATCAGCTGTTTTTAGTTTGTCATTGAATTCAACCGTTTTTATTTTTTGAAATCCTTTGAATGTACTTGGAATTTAAAAGAAATTTTTTAGGTTATGTTTGTAAATGAAAAATTCCTAAAATATACGATTCAAACAAGAGAAGTTTTAGATATTATATTCGAGTTGAAATTTTCTCTGAGTTTTTAAAAATGTAAATTAATTATTTTGTTTTTCAATATTTAATGATAAAATGAAATATGTTTTTCCTTAACAAGCGATATTTTTTCCATGAATGTTATCGAATTTTTTTTCTTATTTAAATTTTAACCTTGAGAAAAGAATTAATATTTTCTATTTAATAATGAAAAATAATATTCTTATCGTTTTTTTAATTTTTTTTGAGAAAACAATAGAATTTGTTTGAATGTTAAAGAAAAATTCAAATTTAATAATTTGAAAATTTTTATTATCAATTTTTCAAATTAAATACATAAGAATAAATGTTTTCTATTTATTAATGAAAAAGAAACTGAATAAGTAAACAAAGGCCTCGATAAAGAAATAAAGAAATAAAAATATTTCAAATCTGAAATAAATTTTTAACAATTTTTTATTTAGGAACATAATATTGTATATTAGTTAATTAATTAAACAAATAAATACAATTAATTAATAAATAGTTAATAATAATTACAATAAATTAATTAATAAATTTTCAATAATTAATTATTTTTATTATTTTAAGTATATTGTTTAAATAAATAAATTAATAAATATTCATTTATTAAAAAAATAATAATAAAATAAATTAAATAATGAAATTATAATTTTATTTCTTACTTAAAAATTTAGTTTTCGACGATTTATTCAACTAATAAATATAAACAATATATTAATTAATAAATAATAGTAAATACAATAAATTAAGTAACAAATGGACAATAATTTATTATTTTTATTATTGTCAGCCCGTATACTGTTTAAATAAATAATAAATAAATTAATAAATATTTATCTATTAAAAAAAATAAATAATAATAAAATAAACTAAACAAAAAAAATTATAATTTTTTTCTTACTTAAAAATTTTGTTTTCGACGATTTATTCAACAAATAAATATCAACAATAAATTAATAAATAGATAATAATAAATACAATAGATAAATTAAAAAATAAATAACAAATTCATAAAAATTCATTTATTAAAAAAATAAAAAAAATAAATAAAATTATAATTTTACTTCTTACTTGAAAATTTAGATTTCGACAATTTTTTTACGAAAATTCTCTTTAATTGAAAAATAATTTCATGTAAAAAAATTTGATGAGTGAAAAATCTATTGTTATTTATTTATTATCATAAAAAAAAGAAATAGAAACAAAAAAAATTTTTATTTTCTCGATTTTTGCAAAAATAGTTTTAAAATATTTATTTATTTATTTATAAAGAAAAGTAAAAATATATTTTTTTTATTTTTAAAAATCTTCTTTTACAAACGATAATAATAAGAAAAAAATTTTAAAACGGAAATTAAAAATGTTTAGACCGTTTTTAAAATTTTTTGATTTATAAAAGCTAAATTAAAAATAATATTTTTTTTTTGCGAAATAAAGTGAGGGTGGGGATAATGTTTAATAATAAAGAAATAAGGACAATTCGTGAATATTTAAATAAAATTAGAGTATAAGGGGGCCGGCCGGCAACGCGACTATTGATTACAACAATATTGCACACGCAAAAGCGTCGCGACGCCACCACCCACCCCTCCATCTACCCCCACCCTTATTCTGAGACCCTCCCTCTTTCGATTTTACCGATTGTCAAGGTCTTGCATATTTCCAGAAAAACATGGTTTTTTTGCACAAATTTTTTCTCTCTTTCCTTCAAAAAAAAAAAGAACAAAAAGAAAATGAGAAAATATTCTCTTAAATTTTACTGTAAACAATTGTAAAAATTTAGAAAAAAAGAGAGAAATTTTTATTTTTCTTTAAGATATATTTAATTTTTTTTTCAATAATTGTAAATTTTTTAGAAGAAAAAAGATAAAATTTTATCTTCGGTAAATATTATTTTGAAAAAAAGGTAAAATTTTACCTTCTGTAAATATTCTTCAGAAAATCACGTAAAAATTTTCATTCGGTAAATTTTTAATACAAGAAAAAGAGGATAACATTTTACTTTCAGTAAATTTTTAGAAGAAAGAGGATAAAATTTTACCTTCCATAAATATTTTTTGGAGAAGGTAAAATCATAGAAGAAAGAAAGAAAAATGGAAATTTTACCTTCGGTAAATTTTTAGTAAATGAAAGATTAAATTTTACTTTCAGTAAATTTTTAGAAATAGAAGAAAAGATAAAAATTTTACCTTTAGTAAATTTTTTTAGAAAAAAAGTAAAATTTTACCTTTCTTAAAAATTTTAAGTAAAAGAAAAAAGGATAAAATTTTACTTTTGGTAAATTTTTAAGAAAGGTAAAATTTTACTTTTGGTATATTTTCAAGAAAGGTAAAATTTTACTTTTGGTAAATTTTCAAGAAAGGTAAAATTTTACTTTTCGTAAATTTTTAAGAAAGGTAAAATTTTACTCTTGGTAAGTTTTTAAATAAGGTAAAATTTTACCATTGGTAAATTTTTTTTTAGAAAATAAGACAAACTTTTACCTTCAGTAAATTTTAAGTAAAAGAAACAAGAATAAAATTTTTCTTTTGGTAAATTTTTTTGGAAAAGGTAAAATTTTATCTTTGTTAAATTTTTTTTAGAAAAAAGATAAATTTTTACCTTTGGTAAATTTTAAGTAAAAGAGACAAGGATAAAATTTTACTTTTGGTAAATTTTTAGAAACAAGAAATAATAAAATTTTACTTTTGGTAAATTTTTAAGTAAGGGAAAATTTTTCTATTGGTAAATTTTTAAAAAATGTAAAATTCTATCTTCGGTGAATTTTTTTGGAAAAGGCAAAATTTTATCTTTGGTGAATTTTATTTAGAAAAAAAGATAAATTTTTACCTTTGGTAAATTTTAAGTAAAAAAAATCGAAAATAAAAATAACGAAGATAAGTAAAATTTTACATTTGGTAAATTTGTAAGAAAGGTAAAATTTTACTTTTGGTAAATTTTTAAGAAAGTGAAATTTTACTTTTGGTAATTTTTTTGAGAAGGTAAAATTTCACCTTCCTTTAGGTAAATTTTTTTAGAAAAAAGGTAAATTTTCACATCTAATATAATTTTTTAAGAAGATAAAAATAAAGATAATTTTTTAGAATAAAGAGGATGAAATTTTACATTTGGTAAATTTAAAAAAACGGTATAATTTTACCTTGGACAAATTTTTTTTTGAGTAAAATTTAAAAATGAAATTATAACACAAATTAAAATTTGAACTTAAATTTTCTTTTGTAAACGGTAAAATTTTGCCTTTTAGTAAATTTTTACTAAAATTTTACTTTGTAGTAAATTTTGTTCAAAAGAATAAAATTTTACTTCGAGAAAAATTCCCTAAATGCGGTAAAAAAATAAAATTTTAGCTAACAGTAGTAAATATTTACTAAAGAAAGAAATTTTACATTTTAGTAAATTTTATATTAAAAGAATGAAAGTTTACCCTAAGAAAAATTTAATGAATGTTAAAAAAAATTGTCCAAATTGGTCAATTTCAACAATTTTAAACTAATTTAAACTTCAATCTTTTTAAAAATGTGTAAAATTTTACATTTTAGTAAATTTTTAACCATTAAAATTTTACTTTGTGGTACATTTTTAACTAATGAAATTTTACATTGTAAATTTTTAACCATTAAAATTTTACCTTTTGGTAAATTTTTAATAAAAAAATTGTTATTTCTATTCAGATAAATCCGTCATTTTTAATTATTTTTAACGTAAATTTTGCCTTTCTTTCTCGAGTTAAATTTTTCCAAGAAAGTTTTAAATTAATTTTTATAAACAAACAATTGCATGGAATGCATTAAAAAAATTGTATTTGCACTTTAATTTTGCTTCAAAACATATTTAGGGAAATTAATGTTTTTATCTTAACGAAAAAGAAACAAAAAAAATGAAATAAAAAAACAAATACTGAAAGTTACGATTAATTCGAAAGTTGTCTTTTCGTTGAACCGCAACAATCTAATGAGCGATTAATTATACCATTATAATTCGCTGCTATAATCTCAATCTCCCGTATGATTAATGTCAAGTTCAAGTTGAAATTTCGCCTATTGTTTTTTTTAAATAAATTTTTTTCCCTATTTGTTATTAAACTTTAAAATTATTTATTTAAACAATGTGCTTAACTGAATCTAAGAAAAAATTTATTTCTAAATCTTGAATAATTATACAAATTACTTGTTAACAGTAGTAGAAGTATAAAATAAAATAAAAATAAAATTTTATGAAAAATATTATTCTGGGAATTTGTAAATATTTTTTTTTCTGAATAATTTGGAAAAAAATATTTTTCTTCCAACAGAATGTCGATGGTATTATATTAAAATTCGAGGCTCGAGGGAGGAGTTAAATCTGATTTGCATCTTCACCAAGGAATCTGCCGAGTTACACTCGAGGATCATGAAAATGGTGTTGTCTCAACGTCAGAGGGAGGAGTTGTAAGTATTTTCTTTTTTTCTTTATTTTCGCATTATTTTTTTTATCACATTTTGCAATTTTCTATTTGACCTACTGCTATCTTCATTTTTAAAAATTAAAATATTTGTTAAAATTAATTTACTTTTCTTTCTGTCGATAATATAGAAATCTAACTAAAATTTTCTTTTTTAAATTCAAAAAAAATAGTAGAGGCACTTAGCTGAGATATTAAGTAATAAAATTGTAAAATAAATTTGTAAAAATAGTGATAAATTTGCGAAAATAACAGTCTAAAAATTTCGAATGTCGGTAATTCAGGAATCTTACTGAAATTTTCGTTTTTAAATTCGAATAAAATAGTAGAGGCACTTAGTAGAGATATTAACTAATAAAATTTTAAAATTATTTTGTAAAAATAATCATAAATTTGAGAAAATAAAAGTCGAAAAATTTCGAATATCGGTAATTTAGGAATCTAACTCAAACTTTTCTTGTCAAAATTGGAGGAAAAATAGTAGAGGCACTTTGTCTAGATATTAAGAAACATAATTGTAAAGGAATTTTGCAAAATTAATGATAAATTCGGAAAAATTAAAGTCGAAAAGTTTCGAATGTCGGTAATTCAGAAAGCTAGCTTTCAATTTTAGACACTAAATTAAATGTAGTACCTTTATTTTATAAATTCTTTTTTAGAGTATATTTTACACAACTTTTGTTAGAACAAAAATCGGTAAATTACAAATAATTTAAAAATTATAGTGATAATTTTTTAATCTGTAAACTTTTACAAAACTTACGCAGGAGTATTTTATCACTAAAAAGCTATATTTTAAAAAAATAAGTTTCCTGGTGCTATTTGATTTTTTTCATGCACTCTTGTCGATAATATACAAATTTACCTTGAAAAACTCAATTTTAAAATTGGAAATAAATAGAGGAACGTAGCTCGGGCACTAAAATATAAAATTGCGTAAGAATTTCACAAAAATATTTTTAAAGCTACGAGAAAAAGTGTCGAATATTTTTTTCGCCCGTCGGTAATTCAGAAATCTAAATACAAATTTTTTTATCAAACTGAAGAATAAATAGCAGAGGCACATAGTTTAGACACTATGTAATTAAATTGTTTAAGAATTTAACAAAAATATTTTAAAATTTATGAGAAATAGTGTCGAATATTCTTTTCGCCTGTCGGTAATTTAGGAATCTACGTACAAATTTTCTTATTAAACTGAAGAATAAATAGCAGAGGCATATAGTTTAGACATTACGTAATACAGTTGTTCAAGAGTTTAACAAAAATCTTTTTAAATTTACGAGAAATAGTGTCGAAATTTTTTTCGCCTGTCGGTAATTCAGGAATCTACGTACAAATTTTCTTATTAAACTGAAGAATAAATAGCAGAGGCATATAGTTTAGATATTAAGTAATAAAATTGCACAAAGATTTCACAAAAATATTTATAAATTTGCCAGAAATTGAGTCGAATATTTTTTCGCCTGTCGGTAAGATAAGAATCTTAATATTTTTTTGCCAATTGAAGGAATAGGTAGCAGAGGCACTTATTTTAGAGATTGAGTAATAGAATTATTCAAGAGTTTAACAAAAATCTTTATAAATTTACGAAAAAAAGTGTCGAAATTTTATTCACCTGTCGGTAATTCAGGAATCTACATTAAATTTTCTTGACAAGCTGAAGATTAAATAGCAGAGGCACTTAGTTTAGATATTAAGTAATAAAATTGCACAGAGATTTCACAAAAATATTTATAAATTTGCCAAAAATTGAGTCGAATATTTTTTCGCCTGTCGGTAATTTAGGAATCTAAATATTTTTTTTGTCAAATTACGGAATAGGTAGCCGAGGCACTTAGTTTAGAGATTAAGTAATAGAATGATTCAAGAGATTTCACAAAAATATTTATAAATTTGCGAGAAATAAAGTCGAATATTTTTCGCCTGTCGGTAATTTAGAAATCTAAATATTTTTTGACAAATTAAGGAATAGGTAGCAGAGGCACTTAGGTTAGGGATTCAATAACTGAATATAACAAAATTTTGTCAAATTTAACTCCAATTTGTAAGAAATACAAAGTGGAGATGAAAAAACACTTGTCGGTAATTTAGGAATCGAAAAATTTTTTTTGTCAAATTAAGAAATAGGTAGCAGAGGCACGTAGTTTGGAGATTGAGTAATAAAATTGTTCAAAAATTTAATAAAAATACTTATAATTTTACGAGAAATAGCGTCGAAAATTTTTTTCGCCTGTCGGTAATTCAGGAATCTTACTCAATTTTTTTGTCAAATTGGAGGAAAAATAGCAGAGGCACTTAGTTTAGATATTAAATAATAAAATTGCACAGAGATTTTACAAAAATATTTATAAATTTGCAAGAAATAAAGTCGAATATTTTTCGCCTGTCGGTAAATTAGGAACCTAAATGTTTTTTTTGGCAAATTAAAGAATAAATAGCAGAGGCACTTAGTTTAGAGCTTCAATAACTGAATGTAACAAAATTTTTTCAAATTTCACTCCAATTTGTAAGAAATACAAAGTGGAGATGAAAAAACACTTGTCGGTAATTTAGGAATCTATCAAAAAACTATATTTTTACTCTGAAATTATTTTAAAAAATATTAGTTAATAATCAATAATTAATTTAATTTAAAACTTAAGAATAATTATTTAATATTTATTAAGAAAGGAATTAATTAAATTGCAACTAATTGTCACATTGCGGACTTTAACGATGCACTTAAAAAATAAAGAGATTTTTCGTTTATTTTTCATTTGCAGTGGAAAAAGTAAAAGTTATATTTGTTTTTTTATGAGTTTCAAGAGGTTTTGTCCTGTTTATATATAAAGATAGCGTGCAGACTTGAAAACGATCAATGAAAACGCCATTCTTAGCTTCCGAATTTAATCGTTTCATTACTCAAGTTTACATTCAGGGAAATATAATATGTATTCGAACTTGTACTTAAAGGGGGTAAAAAAAGAGTCTTATTTTCACATCCGATACTACTCGAATTTCATCAAAGAACATCGAATTAACTTAATCATTATAGAAAACCCGAAAGTTTAAATTATTATTTAAAAATAAAATAAAAGTAAAATAAAATTCCGTTTTTTTTTTTAGAGGAAGATTTTATTGTCCTATATCATAAGGTAGATGATATTAAAAATTTATCAAATTTAGTCAGTTAGTAATAATAAATATGAAGTAAGAAAAAATTAATTTTAATAAAGTAGCTCTTTTTTAGTTAATAAAAAAATCTCACGTTTATTATAAATTGTTTTGGCTTTTAAATAATTATCGCCTTTTAATTATAATGTCGAACGTGACTTGCCATTTAATCGATCTCTCGCTAAACTTTTTTTTTTCCCTTCCTTGAATGTGGGTCACGTTTAGATCAGAAAGATATAATTATTATTTTGTGTTAAAATGGTTTTTCTTTTCATTTTCTTTTTTGCAAATGGAGAATTAGTTTTCGGTAGGCAAACATAATGTAAAAGAAGAAATTTGTAATTTAATAGTGACGTTAATTTTGAGGAGAAATTTTTAACTGAAAATAGACAAAATCGATCTTTAGAAATTAGTCTCCAGATCAGTTGATGGTAGATGTTGGGGGGTAGTTGTCGGATTGTGGGGTAAAGGGGGTTGTGGCGAAGGGTGACTAGAACAGTGGGCGTTATTAAATGTCTGGGGGTTTCTTTCTCGAGCACGCGCAACACATGAAATCGATAGACTTTGAGAGACGTCAAGAAGCGATTTTATGCGCAAAATCAGTGAGCAAGAGTGGGGAGGGAGAATCCGCAAATGGAATATTTCATTTGAATTTCCCGCTGCGATATTTTTCTATATGACGTAATTCTTGGCTGTTTCCGACATTCGCTTCCCACCAGGGTTAAGGATGGTCCAATCATTGGTAACATTCTGTTGGATCTAACCAATCAGAGATAATCCGGAGCGGGGCTAATGCTGAAAACAGCCTATGCCTATGTTACAATTTATTATTAACTTGTTATTACAATTCTATTATTTGTTAATTGTTTAGGGCCGGTTTAACCAACATCGATTAAAAGTTAATCAATGATTAAATCTTTAACCGACCAATCATGAACAGTTAAAGTGCCCTTAATAATTGATTAACTTTTAATCGGAGGTAGTGAAACAAGCCCTTATAGTTGTTATTAACATTATTATTTATTATTAGTTACGATGACGTAACACCATGTTAAAATAAGAATTCAGAAAACTATGTTATAAAATTATAAGCAATTAAACTACGCTATAAAAATGAATGTAAAATTATTATAATATTTTGTCGTATTTTGTAAAATTACAAAAACGTGGAACAATATCCCTACTTAATTTAAAATCAAGAGATAACATCCCTACAATGTTAGAAAGATACTGACCTGGAGCATACATCCCTTTAAGACATAACTTATCCAAGTGGGTTGGGTCGAGAAGGCCCAATCCTGAAATAATAATAACGAATTTTCCTTTACTCTTTACCATTTTCTTTTTAAAAAAAAACTAATTCATTTACCAAGCCAGTGTGGAGAGGTGACCAGAAAACCGGAAAATGACCAGGATATAAAAGTTAATTTTTTATTTCATGCTTTTTCGATCAGAATTTTGATAATTTAAAAAATTATACAATAAAAGTATTTAACTGTTGTTTTAAATGGGTTTAAAAATATAAATAAAATCTTTTATTCTTCAGAATGTTGTTCAGCAACATCCCAGCATTAATCTAGGTTGTTAACAAACCATGAAAATTATTAAGATTGAAAAGAATTTAACTTAAACTTCTTTTTATGACGATTTTGTTCTTCTGCTGGTTTTCGGCTGTGGTTACTAACATTTAAAAAAGGTTTAAAAGCTTAAATAAAATTTTTTATCCCTTAAGGAATTGTTCAGCAACAACCCAGCATTAATCTAGCTTGTTTATAAACCATGAAAATTATTAAAATTGAAATGAATTTGACTTAAACTTCTTTTTATGAC